TGTTGTTGTTCTTGGTGTGATTTTTTTTTTTTGGTTAGTTGAGTTGCCTTTTTTTTTGTAAGGATGTTCCAAGAATCCTGAAACTCATGATAAATGATCTGATTAGGGGAAGTGCTGAGACCTTGAACTGCTCAGTCCAGCATGCTGTGTGTGCCTGGCAGTGGTTGAAATGCCAGCCTGTGTGGTTTTGTCCCGTGGGGCTCCTGCTTGCTTAGCAGGAATTGGCCCCTGAGCAGCCTGCAGAACACTGATGACAAGGTGAAGGTGTGAGCAGTTACCCAGTAACGTTCTCTGTGCTGCCCTGCAGCTGGGCTCTTCTGAGCCTGCTGCCTTGCAAACAGATCCAAACTCATCTAACTGTATTAAATAATAAAAAAGCCCAACAACATCCTCCCCTCAAAAAAACCAAAAAACAAAAGGCAAGAAAAATCCCCTCTCAAAACCCCAAACCAAACCAGCCCCACCGAACAGTGCAGTGAGCTGCTGCTGGCCGTGTTTCAGGCAGTGCTGGGTGTGGCCCTCACCTAAGTTCATTCCTTTAAAGCTTCTCAGAATGAAGATTTGATCAGCAGCAAGTCCCCAGCCTGTCTCTAGGGTACCTGAGGGGTGCCAGTTCCCAGCTTGTGCCCTATTGGAGATGACCCAATCCTGGTATTCACTGAGCTGTGGCAGAAGCAGCTGTGCTCCTGGGAGCACCAAGGCAGCAGCCACAGCTGCCACGGGGCCGGGTGAGCTTCATCTCCACGGCTGCCAGGTTGGTAGAGCACCCCTTTGTCAGAACTAACGGGGCTCTGCTGAGCTCTGTGTGCTATCAGTGGCTTTTCCAAAGCTGGCTTTCTAAAGAGGCTTGGGAGGAAAAGTCAGCTTTTGAGAAATTGGCAACTTCTGTTCCCTGAAGAGGCAAACAGGTTTTGAACTATTGGAATTCACTGGTGTCACTAGAACTCTGAATAGGTTGCTGTAAGATAAGATAAATCTGTTTGAAGAAACTACAGAGTTTCAAGAAAGCTTTTTTTTTAATTTAGTAGCCTTAAAGGGTGTTCTGCAAAGAGGTTTGGCTTTTTTGAATTCCCTATATTACTACAAGTTGAGGAATGCTGAGTAGTTCTGCTCTTAAGCTACAAAAGGGAAGGTTATGTTCTAAACCCACCAGAATTTGTCTAGTGTCTCTGTCATGACTCACTAGAACACCATAAATATTGGATAATTAACAGTTTGCTATTTTACTTTATCTTATTAACACATCTCTTATTTCTTCTGGTTTCATTACTGTTTCACTACTGTTGTCTAATTTTGAAATACTGGCATCTTATATAGTACTTAGGAAAGCTGCTCATGTTTAATAATGTGGAGCCATTGCTTGGGCGTAGATGCATAGTTATCCATGGAATTAAAAGCTGGGAACATCAACTTGTTACACTTTAACTCTGAACACAGCATGTCCCATTTATGTTTGCAAACTTGCATTTAGCAGTCTGCAGTGGTGGGAGCCCAGGATTTACGGCCCAAACCTCTGCACTTGGTGATGTCTGGGCACTCCAGCAGCAGCTGCCCCTCAGGGTGGCTGGTAATCAGAGCATGGACTTCCTGGAGCATGGAACATGGTCTGGAAAACCTCTGCTTGGCATGTGGCTCAGTTCTTAAATTTGTTTCTTGGGATTGGATTTCCTGATGAGATGGATATGCAGAAAGTCTCTGTGCTTCTGTAGGAAGTGCTCCACTGAAATTTGAAGTCATGGGCCCATATTGATGTTTTCCTGGGAGTACAAGTTATTCATCCAAAGTTAATGCAACTTATATTAAAAATGTAATCATGTCTCCTTTTCTCCCCCAGCATCCCCTAATTTGTAAAGATGGTAGTTGCATGTCAGGTGTTGGCTGATGTTACAGAATGACAGCAGTGCTTTGGTGACAGAAGTGTCCCCACTGACAGCAGCTGCCATCTCTACAGCTGCAGGCACAGAACAGGTAACTGTGAAACACGGGCCTAAAGGGGGCTTTAGTTATTTAGTTATGGTGTGACAATCCTGTTCACATGTGAAATTTAAAGCCATGACAAGAAGAGCTTGCACTACTCCACATCTAAAAGCACCACCTAGCTCAGCAGTGCTGCGAGGCAGGGCACTTGTTCCCTGAGGAGCGACAGCACAGAACTTTTCCTAGGGGAACAAGAAAAACTTCCTTTCTGCTAAGTCCTTCAAAGGTCACTGGAGACTTGTGAGGGTGCTCCCCAAGAGCCCTGCACTGGAGGGTGACTGCAGTGACCAGGGCCTCTGCCTGCAGCAGCTGCAATTTTTCTGCAGGAGCACAGGCCTCGGTTAAGAGCTGCTCCAGAGATGCTGGGGGGGTTTCACCACGTTGTTGGCCACAGCTGTAAGAGTGGCTCCTGAGTGTTAGCATTATACACTGGTGCTGCAGAAATTCATGGTGCTCCCTTCCACAGCAAGAAATGACATGATTGTAACTCCTGTGGAAACAAAGGGGCAAAATATTGTCCACACATCACTTGGCCGCTGTGCATCTGTAGTTGCACCCCTGTGGAGCAGCAGTTGTTCCACAGAGCCAACCTTACTCCTTCAGCACTCAGCCTTTTGAAACCCCCACTTTTCTTTAATTATAGACCTAGCTTGGTTACTCACAGGGGCTCACAGAGGGGTTAAAAGCTCCTAGCATTCCCTAAGGATGACCCACAGGAGATAATCAGGCTTTCTGCAACATCAGTCCTGCCTTGAAGCTCCTGTAACAGAAAAGGGAAAGGCACAGGACACTGCTCCCAGACCTGGAGGCAGCTGTACAGCCCATCCCTCAGTCAGGAGAGTGCCACTGGAGGACAAGCTCCACACCACAACCCCTTCTCAAATACCCATCCCAGGGCAGAGCCAAAGCTTGCTGGTGCTTGCTGTGGGGTGCAGTGTTGTACACCCAAGTCAAGAGAAGTAAGGTCTGAAAGAAACCAGAATGGTTACAGCTGGGTACCAGGGGCTGAGCAGATACCTCACCCACCCGAGGACTTGCAGCCAAAGCAGTTTCAGTGTCAATACACACGGTGTTTCATCAGCACTGTGCTCTTGTACAGCCACGTTCTGACACAATTCAGGAGGGCAGTGTGTTTCCTTTCCCCATACAATGGAACTTTTTGGGCCTTAGGCAAGAATTAAAAAGCAGGGGTTAGTAGAACTATCCAGGCCAGATTCTGTCTGTATGTGGAAAGTGAAATACTGCAGAGGAATCTGCAACACCTTCTTTCCCCAGAGAAAATGAAAGTTTCTTGAAAGAGCAATTAATGGCAGAGCTCAGTTTATTGATGACAGAAATAACCATAACTTTATACATTTAACACTAAATAAAAACAGCAGAATGTACAAATCTGATTCATTATGTACAGGAATTCACTAGGAATACTTAATGATCAGACACTTCTCATTAACTTTATTTAAAAAAAAAATCAAATACCAACTGCATATTTGCAGTCTGACTTTTGCAGGAGGGTAGTGAATGTCTTAAGTGCTGAAGTCCAAAGAAAAACATAAGGCAACCCCACAGAGATGGGAACAGCAAAGCCAAGAGTGACACTCCCCACTTACCTCACACCGTTCTGAAAAGGTAAGGCACAGCATGTAAAGAAAGGGGTGCCACAACATTCAGCTTTGACATTCCTGGCTGATTCTCCTTTAGAAAACAACCTTCTGTTATTAGTTTGGTTGGTGGTTGTTTTTAAACAGCAGATCACTGAGTCAGTAAAAGCATTCTGACAGTGAACAAGAAGGCTCCAAAATTCAGATTCACTTTTGCTTCTTCCATAGGTTGGGCAAATAAATAAATGCACCAAAGATTAAACTAAGGTGCTGGTAATATTCTTTTTTGTAAGATAACACACTAAATATACAAATAATGTTCTAGCACTATTTACAGCTATTTTTCCTTGAACACTTTTTCACTTTAGTAATACATAATTATTTTTAGGATACAAACATTGAAGTAAGTTTTCAAGTTTATCTAGTGCTTTTAAATCTTTTTCCATCATAATGGCAGTATTTTAATTTTAAGCAGGATGGCTATCTCCAGATTCTTTACCATACAAAAATTCAAGTTACAGCTAGCAGTAATTTTTTTAATATTCATTTTAGTTTTACTCCATTTGGTAATTAGAAAATAATACAATTGTAAAGGGGTGCAGGATATATAAATAACTACATTATTTCTCTGAAATAAGACCCTGACTTTTGAAATAGGCATCTACAAATTAATTTGGATCCAAGACTCAAACATAAAAAATTTTCAACAACTGCTTATCTACAGAATTGCAAAGTATAAAAAGAACAGTCCATTCTGTAGCTTAGTAGACAGATATCCACATAGTTAAATAAGATGAAAAGTAGAAATACTAATTCAAATGAGGTGGTTACTTTGCCACAGGGTTTGCTGAAATTTTATTCAGTGGATCTGTTTCACAGGTAGCAGTTATATGCATGTCACTTTCTTTACGAAATTTACCCTGCAATATTACAAGTTTCTGGCTGCTCGGGTATCTTACTGCTGTCCAGGTTAGGAAACCTGATACCACTATAGACTGAGAAGAATTTAAAGACTACAGCTCTGACTGTTCACATGCAAAGCACTTTCAGTTTCCTTGACAGACATGCTGCTTGCTTAAAAAAGCCACACAGCAACAAAGGAACCTACACTTGTACAGATTAAGGTGTGCCCTGTTTGTGGTATTGAACCAGGGGCACAGAAACCTGGGCCAAGCACAGCTGTTCTCACACTTACCTGCAGGATTGCCCAGTAAGGATTTTTCCAACTATGTGGTGTAACATCAGCTATCAACTGGATCTAGAAGTATTTCTCTTAAAGCAGCAGTAATAAGGTCTTCTAGAGATTCTGGTAATTTTGAGACCATTTAATTTTTACCCCATCCCAAGATACTCATATTTCACTATCCTGATATTGTCATGTGTCCTGTTTGGGAATTAGCAGGGCTCCTCCTTTCAATACAATATAAGATCAGTCCATAACCACCTGGACTTCCTTAGTTCCTGAAAAAGTGTGCCATTAGACCTTTCTCCTTTGACAGTTTCTACATCAAATGTAAAGCAAAAACAGAAGCATCCCTCATGAGGCTGCCTGCACTGGGATCACACATCAGTGCTGGCAACAGCTTCCAAGCAAACATGGAGCTGAATGTGGCTGTGCACAGAGGCTGTGGTGCAAACTCCTCCCTCACAAAGAAAAGGAGTTTGCTTCTCTAAGCAGCCTCCCTGGGGTGGGCTGTCCTCTGGTCAACTTCAATTCACAACCATCTTGGAGAACCAGATCACAACCATCTACCTGCCCATTATCTATAAAACATTTTACAGCATTTTGCTGAACCTTGGACCAGCCACCCTCACACCTGGAATTTAAGTAAGTTCTTCAGAACTGGGATTCACTAACTACCAATGGTGCATTTGCCCAGAAAAAAAGCTTCAGTTTTTCTGTATGCCACATGAAGCACAAGCCTACACAAAGCATTCTACCACCTCCCTTGTCTTGGGAGTAAACAGACAGCATCCAATACAGGAAATTTGCTCACAAAGTTGATGAAATGCACATCAAAACAAACAAACAAACTACCAATAGCTGTGCATTTCTAGTTTTTAGTGCAGCCTTTTTATATGTTTTTCTTTTTAATTTTTCAAAGTTACAGTATGATACTTCATGAGACAAAAACATTATTTTAACCTTTTTGTTTTGTTTAAAGTTACAGCCACTATAGAAATCTCAGTTTTCAAAGCCTTGGCCCACACTGGAGTATTGGTACTTTCTCCATCTGATGCGTGGTGCAGTATTCTGTCATCACAACATTCAGTACTGAGGATTAACCATTTGGAAACAGGCATCACTGAAAGCCTCAGGTAACCCATTTTACACTTGGCTCTCACAGATACACAACCTCACCCCTCTTGCTCCCTCATACACTAAATCGACTCCGTTGTTGTTACATGGGCCACCTCTACTTCTACAGTTTCAATGGCCTGCGTCACTTCAGCCATTTTCTGTCCCTGCTGCTGTGCCAGTACATAATTTACCACCTGCATGATGCTTTGGTCAGAAAGGGTGGAGACCGACGTGCACTCCTCAGTAGCTGCAACTGCTTCGATGGCTTCCAGCGTCTCTCCTGTCACCACCACGGTCTCGCCCTCGCCAGCGCCAAAGCTGATCTCGGTTTCCTGCTCCTGTATGTCCGAGGCTAAGATGCTGATGGCGTGTTCCACCTGCGTCCCCTGGTTGTGAAACTGCAGGGTGTCTTTCTCCAGCATGATCTTGCAGGGGATGTAGTCCCTGTGGAGCTTGGTCATGTGCTTGCGCAGGGTGCGCGCGTCGATGTAGGCCTCGTTGCACACGGGGCACACGTAGGGCCGCTCGCCCGTGTGCGTGCGCACGTGGCGCTTCAGCGAGCGCGCGTCCGCCCACGCCACGCCGCACGTCAGGCACTCGAACGGCTTCACACCTGGGGGCACAGCAAGCAAAGGTCACAGCGCTGGCCTGCAGCCACAGGGAGAGCAGCAGGGTGGGGAACACAGCAATGCTGAGATGTTTGCCATGTGAGAAAGAGATCCCACAGCAATGCTGTGATGTTTGCATGTGAGAAAGAGATCCCACAGCAATGCTGAGATGTTTGCATGTGAGAAAGAGATCCCACAGCAATGCTGTGATGTTTGCATGCGAGAAAGAGATCCCACAGCAATGCTGAGATGTTTGCTGTGTAAGAGATCCCACAGCAATCCTGTGATGTTTGTCATGTAAGAGATCCCACAGCAATCCTGTGATGTTTGCTGTCACAGACATCTTTTATGAAAAATCCTTTCTTTAGGATTTTTCCTCCTGAGAAGCTGAGAGGCCACAAGAACAAAACGTAAACAGTGATTATCTGCTGCTGTGGAATGCAACAGGTGCATCTGTGATTGGTCTCATGTGGTTTCTAATTAATGGCCAATCACAGTCAGCTGGCTCAGACTCTGTTCAAGATCCAAGCCTTTGTTATTCATTCCTTCTTTTTCTATTCTTAGCTAGCCTTTTGATGAAATCTTTCTTTCTATTCTTTTAATATAGTTTTAATATAATATATATCATAAAATAATAAATCAAGCCTTCTGAAACATGGAGTCAAATCCTCATCTCTTCCCTCATCCTTGGACCCCTGTGAACACTGTCACAGTTTGCCATGTAAGAAAGAGATCCCACAGCAATCCTGTGATGTTTGCATGTAAGAAAGAGATCCCACAGCAATGCTGTGATGTTTGCTGTGTAAGAGATCCCACAGCAATGCTGTGATGTTTGCCATGTAAGAAAGAGATCCCACAGCAATAGTGTGATGTTTGCTGTGTGGCAAAACATCATTTTACCATTTCTGTGTAACCATGTAATGCAAGCATAATGCATTCAGTAGTTACGATTCTCCACAAGTGCCCAGCCCAACCCAACACTTCACTTTGAAAAACTTGTCAAGATTCCTTTTAATGCAGTTTCTTCCTCATTTTAATTGCACAATGCTTAATGGAATTCTGATAATTTTGATGCCTTTCTGAAGCCATGTTTTACTTCACAGAATTTGTCACTTGCATTTCTAGTCATCCTTTGCTTCTGCCAATCCTTCTGTACACCTACAGCTTTACTCTCCTCTTCACTGCATATGTTCAAATACAGCACCTGATGTTTGTATGATCTTATTTTCCCTTGTAACATCTGAGTTCTGTGGTCTGTGGTGGTGACAAACACCATCTCACTACTGGCTTTTCCTCTCTGACAGTTGCTGTACATTTAGGGTAGGTACCTACTATAGGACACTTTTGCTGTTTAGAAACAAACACAAAATCTCTATTTCAATAGTTAGCTGTCAGATTTACTCTTAAGAGCTCTTAAAAAGAAGACATGCTTCAAAAAAAGGTAGGTTTTGCCCTGGGACAGGAGAATATAGACTCCCAACACAGCTGAAAGAACCAGATACTCAAAAATCAGTTCCATACTTTACCTCTAAAGTAAAAAGGCACATAATTCATTAACAAGAAAAAGGAAGTTTTCATATTTTCTCCAAACATCATACAATTTATCACTTGTCATAAATTAAGAAGTTGATCCGTTTCCAACACTGGTCCTTTTTTCTTTTTAAAATTTAGGCCAATCATTCTCTTATCTGAAGAGTAGTTTGTTAACTGTGTGTGCCTTTGAAAATGGAGAATGTTTTAGCGCATCCACATCCAATTCTTTACCAGATTTACCCCTCTTAGTCACTTGTAAAAATGTTCCTCTTCTATTCAGGTACTGAGGACAAATTGGCACAGTCCCTGTGTGTGACTGGAGCTTTAGAAAGACCCCCAACAGCAACCTCTGGCAATCACTGACAGCAAGTTACCAAACCAGGATTCACATAGAACTGGAGAATCTGTAAAAACTCTTCCATTCTTGCCAGACAGGACACACAGACTCAAAGAAACAATTACCCCTTGCACATTATGTTTTAGGGGTTGAGGGATGTAATGACTATTTGTGTTCTACATACCTTCATGATTGTTCATGTGTCTCCTATATTCCCGGAGCTGTGTGAATTTTCTTCCACAGTGCTCGCAAACTCGTTCCAGATTTTGTTTTGCTCTTCCTTTTTTACCATGTGTGGCTTTCTTCACATGTCTTCTGTACAAAGCTTTCTCATAAAATTCTTTTCCACATACATTACACCTAAAATGTGTTAATGTGAGAAATCTATTAAAACCATTTTTGTACACTTCTGTGTTTTAAGCCAAAATGCACTTTATTTATGGTAGGCAAAGGTTAAGGGCAATACTGTCTTATATGGTAAGTAGTTCCATAATTAGAAGTAATATTGTTGGATTGAACTACATTTCCTCTTATCCACAGCCACAAAGCTTCCACTAACCCTTCTAGAGAAGTGAGATCACATATATTTCTGACTGCACTGATTGTATTTATCCTCTTATGAGTTCACATCTTAGTTCCAGCACTGTGTCCCAAGTCAGGAGTCAACCCACACTATGTAAAGCATCCTCAAATACTCAAGACCCTAATCACCATCAATCCATTGGTACTTAAAAAGTGGACTATGCAGTGCCTTGTTGACAGGCTGTAGATCTCTATAGCCTCACTTTGATTGGTACATTTCAGTTGTTAAATTAATTTCCTCTTACCTATAAGGGTCTGTGACAGAATGAGACTTTACATGAGAGTACCAGTCTTTCTTCCAGCTGTAACATTTCCCACAGAACTGACACTGAAATGGCTTCACACCTAAATGTTTATTCATATGCTGCCGAAGATCCCGAGCTTCATAGAAACTCTTGTCACACCTGTAACAGGAGATGTTTTAGCATCCCATAAAAGAAAGGCATTGATTTCAAAGGCACTGGGACCCTCTTCTTTAATAGCAACTCAAGACTGAGAACACCAACTGCATCATCAGTATTTATTTAAAACACAATCCCACTCTAAACTAGGAAAAAATTAAAAGAACAGCAGCTTGTTTGAAAGCTTGGAATAAAACTTGAGGACCTCTGAAACCCTTTTGTCTGTTATTGAGTAACTACATTCTTTCTGCAGATTTAATGGTAAATATTCAAAGGCAAAACAACTGGGAGACATGAGAAATTTGTATTATACCATATGAACCTATGAGGCAGTAACAGCTGCTTCTTTCCTTAACCAAAGAGGACTGACACAAAGATAACTGGATTTTGTTATTTTTAATGCTCAAATGTTGGGGGTTTTTTTAGAAAATAAAAAACCCCAAATTCACAATCCTGCAAGAAAGCATCTGAAAGTATCAATACTTCTTCTTTAGCTTGCTGCTTGTACACATCTTAACCCAGGCTAACTTAGGGTTTTCCTTCACTTATACTTTGCCATAGTTGGACTATACAGCTCCTCTTGGTATGAAGACTACAGTCTGATCTAATCAAAAACATGGTTTCTCCCTTTGAAAGAAATTCTGCTGCTCATCTCTCTCTCTTCCTCATGTAACAACAAACAGCTGCATGACTCAAGAAAGGACAGAGGTAGAGCAATGCCAGCAAGCAAAGGTGGCTGATTCAACTTCTACAGGACCAACCACTGGAATGAGGGAATTTGAAAATGAGAAAAACTTCCATACAGCAACAAAACATTTGATATTACACTGCCTGAATAATGGGCATTCTGGAAAGGAAAAAAGTTGACTTTGCTTTTGAGAGAGGGAAAAAAAAAAACGTAACAGTCCTCGAGCCACACAACCAACCTCCTCCTAGGCTGGAAAGTCTCACCACTCCAGTTCAAATGGGGCTCTCAGGGATCCTCAGTTTGCACATCCACTTAAAATAGTACCAGAAAGACCCCTCAGGGGCTTGAATGGGGTTGGCACTTAGTGCTCTCTCCCCAAGGATTGTGTATTTGGAAAAGCCATTAGAGAAGTAAAAAATTCAAGCAACCACCATACGTTGTCATGCATTACTGCAGTTTAATCAAACACATACTTCACTGCAAAATTTCCAGGAACATTTTAGGAAAATAATTCATGGCCCCTCAACTGGGCCAGAAGTTCAGACTGAAGCCTGACAGGGAGGTTTCCATTCCAAGCCACCAAACTAAAAACTGAAGTCTGGTTATTGCTTAGTGAAGCTCTCTAAACCACCAGTGACAACATGAATTATATCCTTAGCAGAGACCTTTGCTGGAAAAGCAGCAAGGACTGTCTCTGTTTTGAAGAAGCTGGGGAGTCAAAATATCTTCTCTGTCAAGGTGACCTCTTGCATCCATGGCCCTACTGCCTTGAGTAAAAAAATTTTTGTTTTATAAATATACTTTACCTTCAAATCTAAAATTCCCTTCCATAGTATGTTTCATGAAACAGTGTCTGTGCACCCTCTATTAGCTCTGTTTTTAGTATTTTTAGAATTAATGCTTTTAGTATTAAAAATCACTAAATATAAACATTGTTGACAGAACTGAAATAAGTTTTCATAATTTAGAAAATATTATTTTTGCTAGTACGCAGCAGCAATGAGATACTTTAACCAATTCTTTAGAGTATTGCTTTCTTTAAAACCTTAAGTTGCTACAGGCAATAATATAAATTGTACCACTCCTCTTAATATCTGACAGAGCTTCCCAGGGAATCATTGTGAGTTCCAAAATTAAACATTATTTGTCCTTCTGCAGGGCACTTAAAGTTCCCTATAGTCTGTTTGGTCACGGAAGAAGTATCCATGTTTTGCTAATGCACTAAGATCACACTTTCCAGTTACAGTTTCTGCTTTGCTAAAGTCCACAATGCTGTGATGTAAATAATAGTAAATTAAGAATAAAATAGAATAAAAATAAATTAAGAATAAAAACAAATGTTATTCATTGCAGTATTGAAGTAGTCATACATGTTTTATAATGAAGAGAAGTGCAACAGTCAGTGAGTCTCAGTCTGCAATGTTCCTAAACACAGCCATGTTTCAGCAAACACTGAACACAAGTGCAGGACATTGCAGACCCTACAGCTTCAAATCCATGAAATCCACTGTCACACTACAAGAGGGCAAACCAGGCTGAAGGCCCTTGGCCTCTCACAACCTTACACTCTTTTATCTGTTCTACAAAAAAGCTGTATACCCACACAGCTACTGATTATAGCACCAATTACAGTGCAAAGTCATTAGAGAAGAGCTGCAAGAAACTGGAGCTGGGTAACAGTTTAAAACCAAGCCTTTGCTCTCCAGCATGTATTTACAAAATGCATTTTTATTCTCATGCTCCCCAAGTCTTATCCCAGGCCAGTGGAACAGTTTTATGCTACAACAAGGAGCTGCTTTCAATCTTGAAAATGACTGGGATCATTAACACCAAGACAAAAGCCCACCAAACCCACCCATCACCTGACTTACTGAGTACACTGATATCCACGAACTTCAGGCTTTGGCTGATGTTTCTTTATGTGTTTACTGAGTCCTGATGCCCTGTGGAAAGATTTTCCACAGATGGAGCAAAGGTATTTGGATTCTCCTAGCAAAAACAAAACAAAACATGTTAGCAAGCCATGCCTCCGTTTCTCTGGAGTGCTTTGTGAGACAGGTTTTAATTCATATATAACTTAAGTAATCAGAGCAGTACTGCAAAGTGAAGTTTGTTTAATTACACACTGATGGAATTTTTAAGTGTATTTTGTATGTGCTAATGTAATAATACACAAGGGGGGGGAACTAGCAACTCTAAATTAGTTTATTTTATGTTTTTAAACATAGGTACATTGCTGCAACTATGATTTAGTGAGGAAGAGTGAGCAGCCTAAAAACCTGCCTTCTTGTGTGAAAAAAACCACAAGTGCCTGTGCTTGTGTATTATGCAACTTCTTCAGAAACACAGCATTGCTTATGGACTACTGCTTATATCTTGCATTTGTGGAAAAACACCTTAAAATAAAAGTTTTTACTCCATTTCATCAACACAGGACTGATGACTACTAATACAAATACCTTAATTTCAGGAACAAAAAGAGATACTAACTGAGTATCTCTCTTGATTCTGCTCAGCCCAGAAAACCAGAAACACAGACAACCTTTACAAATTACAATTTTAAAACTCTGCTTGTATTGAATTATTATATTGCCATCTTTCCTATGCTAAGATCTTTCCAGACACTAGGCTTTACAAAATGTCATTATTAGTACAGAACATCGTGTAAAACATATCTGGATATTCTGAGAGATTTAACTTAGCATGTTTTCCTGTAAAAGGACAGGCTGGGAGATGAAGTGCATTAGAACATTCCAGCCTGTTGCCTATTTCCTGTTGAACTGACATGATGCAGGCATTAAATACGTACATAAATCCACAGGAACAGACCAACCACAATTCCCCGTTCTTGTACAGAACATTTGCATAATAACACTAAACTATGGATTAGCCCCAGAAAATGACCACAAATGACCACTGACCTCTACCTCAGCTGCCTGACCAGAAGAAAAAGAACAAACTACCATTTATTTTTTTTAAACAGTTTCTTTTGACACTGAAGAGCAACATTAAAGTTCAGCAGCATAAAATAGCCAAAAAAAGGAAAAGGATTCCCTTTCTCATCACTTACCTGTATGGATGCTCATGTGCTCCTGAAGACTTCTTTTTGTGACAAAAGACTTTTCACACAAGTCACACTTGAACTGTTTCTGTACTTCATGGAGAGCTAAGTGCATTTTCAATCCATGCTTATACGTAAAGGTCTTTCCACAAACCTAAAAAAAATCCATACGTGGTGGAATAGGACAAATAAAACTAATTATGTAATAGGTGTTTAACTTCAAACAGAACAAAACCTCCTGTATCTCCTGGGAACTAGTATGGACAAGTCTGTGATTCTCCAGCAGTGATAGAACTGGTCTATTAAAAAAAGGAATAATCAAAGGAAGACATTTTTCTAGACACTAGAATATCAACTTGCACAACTCATACTCATTCTAGTTTTCTCACTCTTGGACTGTAAGCAATTTCATCATGAATGTTACACTAGTTTTCCCTATTGTGAAGTGACCAAGTGAGGTGAACAAGACTAACATAAACTTAAGCAGAGCATCGATACCAAAACATTGGTAATAGAGAACATGACAAATGTGATTAGAGAGCGAAAGGACTTTACCTTGCACGCGTGGGGTTTGACACCTGTATGTTTAAGCATATGTATTCTGAGGGAATAGAGCTTGGGCAGAGTCCTCCCACAGATGTCACACACGAATTCCCGTTTGGTCCTGCCTTTCACCGAGGACATGCCGCTCCCCTCGGGCCCCCCGGCCGCAGCGCCGGCCTCCGTCTTCCGCGTGTGCCGCACCAGGTGCGCCCGCAGCGACGCGCCGTACTGGAACTCCTTCTTACACAGCTGGGACAGACAACACACAAACTCACTGTGCATGTAACATGCAGAATTACTAAAAAAAACCAACCAGAAGTAATCAAATGTTTGAAGTGCAGTAATATGATGAGTTAACTCTATAACCCAACTCCTGAGGTTAACGAAGAGTTGTATATTTTTATTTTATGGCTACTGACAGAACCACCGATCACTTCCCAGTGAGATTAACTTCCAGTCTAGACTAAACACAAATTCACTGGTAGGGTTAAAAGCAAATCCCATGCTAGCACTGTCTTGAGCAGCAAGTCACACACTACTGTCAGGCCAAGTGGCTGCACTCCATTCTACTTCACCCCAGCCAGATCAAGGCTATATCCAACTCTGAAATTAGTAAGGAAAATAAATACATATACCAAAAAAGGCAACAAATATAATTACTAATATAATTACAGAATTAATTTTCATAAGGAGGAAGATTTACACAGAAAAAAAACCAAACCCAACCCCTCAACTTACTGGGCATTTATATTCTTTAGACCTTTCATGTTTCAGTGTGTGCATTATGAGTGCATAGCGCCGCTGGAACACCATTCCACAGTCAGTGCACTTGTGCTGTGCCTCCACTTCGTTATTTTCTGTGGTCTCTCTTTTGGGCTGTTTCATTTTTTTCCCTCTTTGTACCAGCTTCATGGCAACCTAAGTTGGAAAACCAGAACCTATTAATGAATTTTACTGCATTGTACTTCATGCCTTGTCTGAAAGTTTGCACTAAAAGCTGATGTTCTGTTTTTCTGTAATACCTCCTAATTGTGTTCAGCTGACTTAGCTGCATGAAAGTTACCTTGTTTCAGTTCACTACTAAACTACAGATGTCAAGGTGAGTGAAAAACCATTCTTTTTTAAAACCATAAGCTTACTATGAGGATGGTCACGCAGTGACTTACCAGTTCAGGGACAATGAACTCTCCAGCCCTGAGTCAGTGCCTGAGTGACAGCTACAAGACAGTTACAGAAGAATCACAGAAATCCTGACTGGCAGTACTCTATCAAGTTGAGAGCATTCCAGCTTTCCTAGAGATTATCTAGGAATAAGGCACTAGTGGGTTTTTTATGTGGTATTGGCACATATGCTAGTGCTACCTGGAGCTGATAATCTCATCTTCCTTTGTAGAAACTTGCTGCCAAACTCTTTAGAAACCAAATTCTAAGCGATCAGGTTGAAATGCCCTGTATCAGGTGTGTGTCCCCTTTGGGTTCCTGAGAATAAGGCAAGGGAAGGAAGTACAGGCATCCCAATTTCTTCATCCTGCTCTCCCAACTGTTGTAGACAGGTAGAAGAACTATAAAAGAAAGGCCTTGTGAAACCAAAGCCTCACTTTGCTAAACTGCCAGAACTGCCCTGTCACTTCTTCTAAGGGCAGCTATCGAGCAGTTTGCAAGTTCCCATATTAAGCCATTTTGAGAATGAGACATTTATTAACAATCTACTCTGAGGGTGAAAAACAAATGCACCTACAATAGCAAGGATTTGTCCACTGAGAACCAGCAGAAAAAGTATGTAAACAATCCAGGAATAGAGAGATTTGATAGACAAGTAAAATACTATTTACTAACCAATGAATTAGGTGGCAAGAAAGCTACTAATCCATGGGTGTCAAACAAAAGGTCTGTGAAACCTGTATAAAATAAGGTATGTGAATAAAGATTTGGCTTTTCCTGCATTAAGAAAATGGAGTCTCACATGACTTCTTCTAATACCCAACAAGTGAGGTATCTAGCAGGTTTTGAAAACATGCCAGCCCTTCCATGCCTCTGAAAACCAAATTGAAACTCAAATTTTTAATGTATTTTAAAAAAATTTCCTGTTGCTCTGAAAAATTATGCAAACTTGGCTAAACTGTGAAGCCACAAAAATAATTTTATTCAGTACAGGATTAGTAAGAGCTAGGAAAAGAATTAATTCCTACAAAGCACACCTCATTCCAATATCTCCATGTCAGGTGCAAGTACTGTAATTTAAACCAGAAGCATTTTTCCTGCAATCTCTTTCCCATTATTCTCCCAGCATCAAAACTGGGAACTCAGGAGAGTGTCTCCTTCCCAATGCTTATATGAAATCCCATGCCACAGGGGGAGTTGAGGGATGCAGAAAACACTAAAGGCTACAAAACAAGTTAGGAAAGCAGAAGCCTGTTCCTGACTCCAACCTTGAGCAGTCATCCAAACTAATTTATTTTTTCCATAGATCTGTGCACTTCATCTGCCAAGGATCTGGATTTAAAAACTGCAAAATACATAACAGGAACTATTCCCAAAAGTAAATATTCCATATTCCCCTTCCCAAAAGAGAACAAAACTGCGGTGCTCTTCAATCAGCATAAATAGGTTGCTCAAGTATTTTGATTGTGCTACTTTTAGCATCTGGGCTTTAAGCTGTCCTTCTGTAAAAAGATACTAATTCTACTGTTTCTACTAGGGTGCTGTAATGATACCACATTATTGTCCTGTGTGTGGGACTGGTGGCTCTGGTACACAAAACTCTCAGGACTCCTTTGGAAATTATAATATAATTATTAATAGCTCTTCAGAAGACTTGGCCAACATGCAGTGAAGTGCACTCTGTCACAAACTAAATGCATGATGCCCAGTGAGATGACTGCCAACTATCCAGAGGCACTGAAGGAGGAAAGGCTCTCAAAGGGGAAAGAGTAATAACACCGTTTCATAAAAAAAAAGAAAATTGTGATTGGAGCTAGTTCAATTACTTAACATTTAGTATGTTCAGGTGCTAGAGTTTTTAACAAGTTTTTTTGCTCTTTGGACCTTTCTTCTCATTGACCCCAATCAGAAGGTAGCAGGAATGCATTATTGTGACTCATTACTACATCTTAAGATCGACATGGGATGTAAAATTTTTCATTCCCAATGTTGTTCTCAAATCTGAACAAATGTAGGATCTCACTTCTCTAATAGATAAATTTATGTGTCTATGACTGACATACACATGAGCTAGCTTAGAATTAAATTCATAGATCATTAAGGATTTTGGGGAGATGATACAACTTCTGTCCAACCATAAGAAGTTGTGAGAAGATACTCAACCTAGATTGTGGCCACCGAGCATTCTAAGGACCTTCAATATGGAAGGAATACTGAAGCCAAGTCAATGCTTTTGGGATTTTGTTTGCCCAACTGTCACAGCTTAGAAATTACTCTAATGACACAGAATACCTGCTGCACTGCAGATTTAGGATTTGTCTTTCTATTCTGCAGTTTTTTTTCAATTCCTTTATGCAGCCTGATGTATCCCCCCTCAGTGACAGAGCGCTGGCGAAGCTTGCTTTTGTAAGTATCATCCTGGCTGGAAGCAAGGCTCTCTGGCTGGGAAATGGAGCTGCTCTGCTCATCACTTCTTTGCTTGAGTGTCTCTGAGGAGTCTTCAGAAGCAGAATCCACATGTGCTTTATCACTCTGATTTTGAGCTGCCTCAGTTTCCCCTTGGCTCTGTGTGTCCATGGCTTCCACAGCCGATGGCTCGGTGCCGAGTCTGTTGTAGAGGCTGTTTGGAATGCTCTCCACCAGCTGGATCTTGATGTAATTTTCAGTTGTTTCACACCGTTCCACAGCCTTGGAAGGATCACCTGCAGTGGCCTCCAGAGGCTCTGGGTGCAGGAGGTCAGGCTGGGGTGCTGCTGCCTCCTCTGTCCCAGCAGAGGAAGGAGCTCCATTCACAGCTACTGGCACTTCACTGGCTGTGAGTTTAGGCTGCTCAACACCATCCATGGGCTGCACCTGCACTTCAGCCTGCTCTGCTAAATTTTGTGTTGACTCTACTGTTTGGATATCTCCCTTTTGGTACACTGTAATTTGTTTCTCTTCCATCTGTTTGTGCACATTCTCACAGATTTCAAGGACCTCTGACATGAAGAGATGCCGGGCGAGCATGGCCACTTCTGCCATGCTACAGAAGTCAAACGTTAATTCTGAAGTATAAGCAAATTCCAATAAAGGCAGGAAACTGGACTTGCAGAAACCTACCAGGAGTAAAACAAGATATTAGAGCACATAATGATGACCTGAAATTACCCCAAAAGATCCCATGAGGAATCAACAGTTCACCTTTGATACAGTTAAGTCTGAAATTCAGAGCAAAACACACTTGGAAATAACAAGCCCATCACTGGCACTCAATTAATTGTCATTTACGCTACAGCTTCCTCCTCATGTGGGTAAGCTCAGACAATTTTTCCAATAACTAAGTTGTACTTAAAGAGTTTCACAATAAAATTCTTTGAGGAATATTTCAAGATGCTGGGAGAGCCACAATACTTTTGAAGGACATGAACTGAACCGAAGTCTTTCTGGATCTGCTACATTCAGAAAGTACTCAGGTCTTAAGTAACAAGCCATGTGGCAGAAAAATAAGGAAGTAGCTATTGAAAACAATAAAAATATGGATATATAGATAGAAATGCTGAAATATAAGAATTTGGTATAACTGTCCACAGTTGCATAATTAATAAATCAAATATTTAATGTGGGGAAGCTTCTGGACCATCCTATGAGAAAATTACTGTTCATGCATGCCTATTATTCATGCAGAGACAGTTAATAAATGAGAAAGCAATGCAGAAGCCTTATGTTTTGTACATTACTCTTCATCACTACAAAGCTATTTTTAGAACATATATTTTAGCTCCTGTATTGCATGTACCAGGTCTGAGAAAGCAGACATGTAAAATTCTGCTTCATAAAAAAATAAGAAGCAATTTAGCATTTGTTAAGTTAAACAACTCTCCAAGCAGCTCGTCAACATCCCTGCCTGATGTACTCAAGCACTTGATTTTGTTCCTTTTAGTGTTTGTAACTAATACAAGGAGGAAACAGGCCTAAGCAAGGTAAAAATCCATCAAAAGCTTCTCAGAAATGTTAAGATTAAATACCACAATCCATGGAAAATCAGATTAGGCAAAATCAGAGCGATCACTTTTGCATTATGATCTACACAAAATACTTTTAGATTAAAACAGAGAAAAAAGCAAGATAAAATTTGGTTGTCTTCAACATCCAAAAAAGACTGAATTACACACTGTACACCTTAGAATATTATGATTTCTAGCTTTGAAACCCACAGCAATTCACCTGACAGATCCACTACAGCTTCATGACTAGTGACAGCTCCCTTTTCAATGAAGAGCTCTCGGAAGTACTCGCTGTTGGCTGCCAAGACAGATTTGTGAGCTTTGTACTCCTCTCCTTCAATCAGCAAAGTCACATCACAGAACTGATTGGAAAGCCTCTGCTGATTCAGTTGGTTTAAGACTGACAGACAATGTTTGGAAGATGACTGCTTCACAAGGCCCTTACTGTCAACCTGTCATAAACAACATTTGAGAACTTCATTACATTTAGATTGTGCCTTTTCAAGCATTCACACTGAAACACAGAAAAGGATTATTTTCTGCAACCATACAATCAGTTCAAGCCTGTAGAATATAGAGCTTAACTTTACTATTGCTTTCCTTCTTTAAGTTTCACCCTCCCTCCAAACACAATTAAAACAGACTGAAAAAATGGGAAGACACATTCAAACAGCTCTTTGATTGTATTTTTCTATGCTACAGTCTGAAAAAGTTTAGAAATTCAAATGTCTTTATGTGGATGTGGGTTTGCAATTATGAACAAGAATTTTATATATTACTATTTCATCATTTATTAAGGAAAAATACAGAGCTCATAAGAATCTTGTATGTGATGGCAATTGTAAGCAATGGCAATTTTGCCACTAATTTTATCTTAGATTCTAGATGCATAATATATAGCATGATTTTATTTCTCAGTAATTATGTCCTATAATTAATTTCATAACATATACACCAGTATCCCATTTCTACATATTCAATATCTTTGGCAAAATGTACAGTCTTATTGTTACAAGATTATCACAACAATGGAAAAGAAGTCCATAACCAAGAATGCAGTAATAGAAATTGCAAATCCATTCAGATGCAAACAACAGTACTTACAAACACAAGCTCGTGCTTTGCTATTGGTTTCTTCTTCACAGGCTTTGGGGATGCTGCTGGGATTGATGCTGTGTTACTCAATTCATCATCTGTTTCATTACTGTCTTCATGAGATTTTGCATCCAGTCCTAGCTCCTCCAGCATTTCAGAAGGATCTGAGAGAGATCTGGAGCGGTCTAGCTTTTCCTGGCACTTGCTGCATTCTTTAATGTAATCCTTAACCTGCTTAAGAATACCTAAGAAAAATCAATGGAGCTTGATTAGGCTTCTAATCTTAATTCAATTTACTATAAACAAATAATTATGTAGAAAATTAGCTCAACATCAATAATTAATAATCAAAAATATTACATACTAACCAAGCAAAATAAAGTCAGCCACCTACACTCTCCCTCTCTGATGCAATATTACCAATTCTGAGTTTCTCACACCATTGCATAATATTGTCTCTACTGCTAATTTGAGATAGAACATTTAGAATGTCACTACATCAAGCAAACCCTCCTAGAAAGATTATTAAGGTTAAAAAAAAAAAAGATACTTAGACATTCAGTCTCATCATCCCACATCAATGACAAATGTAATATAACCCTGTATTTAGCCCACACAAATGGCTTGTTTCTCCTGAAGAGGACAAAAATTGGAAGGCTCACTTACGAGCTTTTGCAAAATTGGGATCAACTGTGCTATATGCAATGACACTGATAGGTACTATTACCACTGATTTAAATCAATTGCTTATGATTTTGGAATTTAAATAAATCAATTTCCCTCCAGTACTTTAACCAGTGGAACCAAGTATAAATGACAGCACCCAAGGAAATAGCCTGAATTTGTGTCAGGGGAGGTTTAGGTAGGATTTTGGGAACAGGTTCTTCACCCAGAGGGTGGCTGGGCCCTGGAACAGGCTCCCCATGGAAGCAGTCACAGCACCAAGCCTGGCAGAGTTCAGGAAGTGTTTGGACAGTGCTCTCAGGAATGACTCTTGTGACTTTTGGGGATGGTCCTGTGCAAGCCAGGAGTTGTATTCAGTGATCCTTGTGGGTCCCTTCCAGCTCAGCACATTCTGCAATTCTGTAAATAATGTCAGATCCTCAGCAGGTCCTGAGTGCAGGGTCCCCTTCTGGATCCCACGGCATTTTCCGTGCGCGGCTTTCAATCCAAATTTGTTCTCTTCACTAGGACAATATAAAAGCATATACAGCAGCTGGGCCTCTATGGCTTAAAATCCAGCACTGCTCAAAACTTTGCTGACACAGACCAAGACTTGCTTGCTCACATCTCCTCAGAGCATGACTTGCACTATCATTAAATATCTCTCTCTGTAAGGATCAGGAAAACAGAGACTTAAGGCAACCTGAGATATTAATGTCCATTTTAACAATTTGTACATCTCCTTGATTTCATCTGAAATAGAAGGAGATCTGGCCTGCAGATCACATCCCTAACACCCTTCCTGGCCCCTGAGGCATTCTCCAGCCCATGGCCTTGCAGTTACAGAACACACACCAGGCTGATGGCCACCTCAGGCTGACAGCAGCCAAAGCTGCTGTCCCCAGCAGCCAGAGAGCACTGTAATGGCAGGGAAAACATTGTTTTAAGGGAGACACGTGTAAGAAACATAAAACTTGAACTGAAAGCATGGAATGAATTTTAGTGTTCTCAGTGTAAGAGAAGCAAGAGGATTTAGGGTGTGCAAATAAAGGTGATCAGCAAGATCAAAAGAACACAGAGTGCCTTCTCCTGACAAACAGAAGCTACACTGAGACCCATGGAGGAAGTTTCCAGCACAGGAAGATGCCAGAACAGTGCAATGCTGGGCAGACAATGAGAATGCAGATAAAGGCAAGGAAAGCACCATCCAGAATGGGTATATTAGCTTTGAGATGCCAAATCCCCTCTTCATACAAAAAGATCATCAAGTCATTGAGATCTGGACTGGAGGGACTGGCTGCAGCTACAGCAAAATCTCTCCAACTGAAAATAGGGAAAACTAAAGCTGGAATTACAGACTTGCTGGTGGATGAAAAGAGCGGAACAAGAGAAGCAATGCAGACACACACTGGGCCCATGGCAAGTGAAAAGCAGGCAATTTGTTTGATGGATACCTAGGGCTAAAAGTAGAACTCCAAATCCAAAGGGAACAAGATATCAAGTCATTCCCTCAGGCAAAATAAAGTCCCAATTGGGAATTACTGCTGTTCAGGCACCACCATTTGTAACAGCTGTGGCATCACTCAGGACCCAGCTGAGAATTAGTCTGGTCTTTTCAGCTTCTCATTGCAAGAAAGAGACAAATAAAACAATGAGTGCCAGCACGGCCACCACTGGCAGCTGTAGTACTTTAACACGAACACCAGCATATGCATGAATGAGGTACAGAGCTACCCCAGCCCATGTGGACTGGATTATCACCTTATCCCAAGGGCACCGTTGAGATGTCACTGCCTTACCTGGGCTGCGTGCAGTACCTGGAGGGGACAGCTGTACTCTGTGTTTGCAGATATTCAAGGTACCACGGCCAGACGAGCAGCCCTGGATAATTTGCTGACCGAGAGGTACCGTGCAGAGCGAGCCCTGCCCCTCGGGGTGTGACACAGTGTCACTGCCCACAAAGCACGTGCTCGAGGTGGCCTTTAAAGGCACCGGTCACGGCAAGGGACAGTCCCCTCCTGGTCCCGGCAGGGAGGGCACACGGACATCCCTCCAGTAGAAGGGAGACATGGGACTCCTGGGGCGGGTACAGGAGGGCAGCAAAGATGACTGATGGACTGAATCGTCCCTTTTACAAGGAAAGGCTGAGGGAACTGCACACGGTCAGCCTTGACACGAGACGACTGACAGGGCACCGCATTAATGTGTATAAACATCTAAGCAGAGGTGTCAGGAGCATGGAGCAAGGTCCCGGTGGTGCCAAGCAATGGCACAAGAAGAAACGAACAAAAAGAAACCAAAGCACGGGAGTTCCACGTGAACACGAGGACAAATTGTAAAGGTGGCTGTGCGCCGGCACAGGCTGCCCCGAGAGGCCGTGAGTTTCCACCGGGGGAGACGCTCAAGAACCGCCGGGACGCGGTCCTGTGCCATGCCTGGGATGACCCAGGGACCCACCGCGTCCCTTCCAGCCGCGGTTCGCTGTCTCGGTGCCCGCAGCCGCCCCCGCCCCGGGCTCACCTCTCCACCAGTACTTCTGCGAGAGCCCCTGCCAGGTCTGCAGCCGGGTGCGGTGCGCGCCGTCGGGCGCCAGGTGCGCGGCGCGGATGAGGCGGGCGCGGCGCTCGGCCTGCAGCACCACCTCCAGCTCGGCGAAGCGCTGCTGGTCGCGCTGCCGCCGCTGGTAGTACAGGGTGCCGCCGCGCACCACGTAGCAGGCGGCGGCCTTGCGGATCTTCCGCTTGGCGTTGCCCTCCGTGCCCGGCGCGTACGGCTCCCGCTCGTTCGTCAGGTACCGCAGGATGGCCAGGTAGCTCTCCTCGCTGGACATCGCGCGGCAAGGGGCGCGGGTGCCGCCCCCGCGCCCGGGCTGCGGAGGAGCCTCCCGGGATAAGGGGAGGGGGGTCGGGATCGGCCCCGGTCCGGCGGGAGCCGCGCCCGGGGGGGGAACTGGAGTGTAGCGGCCCGCGGCGGCGGGAGGGAGGGAGAAGATCGGGCAGCAGCGGCGGCGGAAAGGCAAAATGGCTGCTGCACAAGCGGAAGTGAGGTGGGGCCGCGCGCGCGCAGGAGGGCCCGGGAAGGGGCGGGGGCGCGGGGGAGCGCCCGGGGGAGCGGGGCCGCCATCTTGGAACCGGGCAGGGAGAGCCCGGGCGCAAGGGCGGGGTCGCCATGTTGGAGCCGGGCAAAGCGTCCTGCGGGGAGCGGCCGTGGCGGCGGGAGCCGGGAACGCTCCCGAGGGAATCCCAGCGCAGCCCCGGCTCCGAAACTGAAGCGGCTTCTGCTCCAGAGCCGCCTCGGGGGTAGAGCTGCGAGGGGAGTAGCGGGGCTGTTCGTGACCATCAGGAGCAGGAGCAGCACCAGCGCGGGCGGGGCAGCCCCGCCTCAGGGCTCGGTGCGCGCTGTGCTGTTTGTAAGGGGCAAGAAAGGAAAGTGAACTGCGCATTTTGCTTGTCCGAGCTCTCCGCTGGCTGTTACACCCGTGACAGAGACACGCGAGGCGGGAGCCGGGGCTGCCGTGCCCAGGACAGCCCAACAGCAGCAGCAGCAGCGACCCTTGCCCTGCGCTCGGTACCTGCGGGACGCTCCCGGGGCAGGGAGCCCCGAACACCGAGATACCGACCTGAGCGAGCGGCACCGGCCAATACGCTACTTATATAGAAAAAGGGTGCTGTATTTAGTTTTTCTGTTTATTATAATAATGGCAGTGGTGGAATACTGGAACAGGTGGCCCTAGGAGGCTGTGGAATCTCTGTCCTTGCAGTTGTGTTCAAGACTCAGCTGGATACTAAGCAGTCTCATCTAAACAGACACGTTTTGGACAAAGAGTTGGAGTGGATGTCCTCTGGAGGTTCTCTTTAACCCAAATTATTTTTGTGGGTCTGTGACAAACTTAGGTACTCAATTTCTTCTGACAAATACTTGATAGAGGATCAATTACATCACATTAGGTAAACACAAGGGCTTATTTAAATTCCATAATTCATTCTATTACAACCATATTTGAGGTGAATAAAGTGCTGTTACAGCCTGCTCTGAGCAGCCTGTCTCACCCAGTGCATAGCCTGTAAGAGGAGTAACCTGATGGGCTGTTATTCTTTACTACTTCTCACCATATCAGTCAGAACTCGGGAATAAACATCAAGGAAGAGTAATTGTGAAGCACTTCTGTGCACCACTGCAGTGACACCAGGCAGCCAAAGCCTGCAAACTTCAAAGCATTAACAAATAATAACTTATTAATTAGTCATATCTGCCAATCAGTTTCTATATCTGTCATGAATGGTATTTCAAGCAGATGGTAAAAGCTCATCTTTATTTTCAGCTTCTTAGCTGAAAACATTCACAAGGACACATTTGGGGTACCAAGTGCCTTGTACAAGACATTGATGTGATTTGTATAATCACCACTAGCACATGGAATATTTAAGTGTTTTCAGCCTTCAGTTTTAAATTATTAAAAATTCCCTGTTAACCACAAGCAATTTTTCTTCCTCTCTTTTCCCCTCCAGTTTCTGTCTCCTTTGCTTTCAAATATGTTAACCAGTTGAAAAGCCTTCAATTTCTTTCTAAACGTGAGCAGCACTGGGTTGGGTTTTTTTGTTGTTTTTTTAATATCAAAAAGCAGCCTTGTTTGGAAGATCATGGTGCAAATTCCATTAATAACATCAAGCTAAACCTTTTTTAAATAGGTTGCCTTCATCCAGACCCGTATCTATTTTACTAAAACTCAAAAGAGGTATAACTATAGCCCATTACCCACAATGCCCATTACAGCCATTGTTTTTGAAGCCCAGAGGGACTGCAGGAAGTTGAAACACAGCTGTCTTCTTGACTGGTGTAAGATAGCAAATCAAGTCCTCAAAGTATCAACAGAAAAGTAACTGATCCAGGAAATAGTGAAGGTTTGGTTTCTGTTTTGGTTCTGGTAAACCAGGACATTGTTTTGCCAAGGGTATTGCTGGGCACGCTGTCTGCACAGTGCAGTTACTTAGGCAGACAGAGGAACTCCTATGAGGAATTTCAATCCCTCTAGCGGTGGGAGGGTGGAAATATACTAAGGGAACCTCTATATGCATTCAGCAAGTTAAATATGAACCTAAATGAGCTTTAACTGTGTAACATCAGCTGCATTTGAAACCCATTCAATCTTCACAGGCTTCCTTTTCCTGACAACAGCTTCCAGCAATTCATAGTTTTGTAACTTCCCTACACAGAAGTTGCACCTGAATCTTTGTGTGCAAGAGCCATGCAGTCTGTGAAACCATCCATTCCCTTTTTTTAACCTTCTCCACATTTGATTCTCTGTATCTTGCTACATGCATTCCACAACACAGGACCTTTGCAGGTAATATACAGATTATATTGCTTCACACCCTCTTTTAGCTTGTGTGTACCTCTAATCTTAGAAACCACTTTTTATGTCATTTGTCATAGATGCAGAATATCTCACACAGCAGAGCAGACCATGGCACAAGTAATGGAATTCCATCAGATGTTTATTCAGCATGAGCAACAGTTTGGAAAGTTAGCGCTTTCCACCAACACGGGGAGCAGAAACCTTGACTGGTTTCACAATCTTCTGCTTAGGTGCTGCCTTTGTAGGGGCCTGTGGAGAAATAATGAAGTATGAGTGAAAAGAAGCCATTTATCTGCAGTTCTAAAACTGTCCCTGTATGTACTTTTGACAGAAATCAGACTAGGGATAGATCAATACTGGGATCATGTTAGCATTTGTTTACAAACATAACACTAAGCCAACACATGGTATTAATTCATTAGTGATAATGAAACACAGAGTAGCACTCATCAATATATTGTTACCAAGTTCCTAGACAGTGAAGATGTCACATTCAGACAAGTTTTTATTTATTAATTATCTCTGATATTAGGTCAGAGAATAGATTTCTTGTAATATTTTCTTATTATTAAGAAAGTTACACGAAATGCTTCCTCAACACAGAAACAGGAATTTCCAATTAAGTGCCACAGCAAAACGTTGTGTGTCATATTATTCCTTTTAATAATTTCAGTTTGCATACTGCATCTCACCTTTGCAGCAGAAACAGCTGTTTTCTTGGTTGCCTGCTTAGCCTTCTTGGCTTCCTTTGCAGCCCTGTTAATTCATAGAAAAAGTGGAAGTTATCTATGTCTGCCATACACAGTTTCCTTGTTTCAGCACTGTAAGCTTCCCAAGATCAGGAATGGAATGCATTACTGCAGATTTCTCCTCTATATTTACTATCCCCTGAAGGAATTTCTACAGAGACAGCAGAACTGTCAGTGACAAAGGTACAAAGGGAAAAGGCAAGGAGAGATCCTTCTCTGCTGCCACGATCTCTTGCCAAGATTACATACAAATATACAGATTAAAAGCAAACAAAAAATTCCACAGAAAATCTTGTAAAACACAGAGCCCGCCTAGAGTTTAAGCTTTTGTATGAAAAGTACTGTAACCTTTGAAAAGCTTGGGATAGCTCCACTGATCTGACTCCTCACCTGATAGCTTGTTCCCTCTGTGCCTTTCGTACTTCGGGCTTCTGGTTCCGCTTGGCCATGATCTCAGCGAGAGAGGCACCAGTGATTGCTCTCTGAAACTTCACAGCGCGGCGTGTGCGCTTCTTCTGGACCTCTTCCTAACAGGGCAGGAGACAAACACACACAATCAGCATCACAAGACATCAAATACATGGCTAAAGACAATTATGGGAACAAGCTGCTACTCAAATTGAAGCTATTTAAAACTGTACACTGTAGTAGAATTTTACTCCTCATTTTAGAGAATCCTTCTGTTGGGGACAGAGAAGTGCTGCCCTACCTCCACATGGCCCCTTCTCCAGCCACATCCTGTACTTTTCATTGTGTGTTACTACCAACAATCCTTGGCTGGCTCCCCAGCTGTCCAGCTATCAGTGCTGGAGACACACATATTAGACCCTGTATCGTCTATGCTTCTACAGCAAAGTACGAAAAAAAATAAATACTTTGAAAGAATGTTAGAAGTTCAGCCATCGGTAACTCCCAGACAAAAAAAGGGGGGAAAGATAAACCTTTGATGGTGTCTTCTGAAAGGAAAACACTCCACACCTATTCAAGTGAATCAGGTGCTGGGGAGCAGGGTAAGCCATCATGCACCAACTTTCTTCAACCATTATTGCACTGCTGTAAGCCTTTCTCAAAGCTCCTCTGCTGTGCAAGTTTAAACAAGAGCACTGCAGCATACCTCATGCTACACGTTTCACGATTTATCCTTCTCATGCAATGACAGCTACATAGGGAAAGACCTCATGCTACAGCCTAAAGTTTTCAAGGAGAGTACATTAGCAGAGTCATCCCTGCCCCTCTAACCCCAAAATCAGCTCCCTATGCTGTCACCATTGAGCAAGTTTACAAGACCAAACTTTTACACAGTCTGCATATTAAACAGCATTACCCACCTTCCCTAAAACTAACTTTTAAAAACAAGACATTCCTAACAAGCCATTAGGATCTGCTGAACATACTGTGGCTCTGAGTGGTCTCTCAAAGAAGTGCTACAATACAATACACTGCTTTTGTTGAAGTGGCGCATAAACTCATGTAACTGCAGTCACATTTTCACCATTATTAACTAGTCTTCAACCTGGTAACTTGGGTCATGCTTCTGCTGAACACTGGCACACTTAAGTGACCTCTGACAGACCAGTGACCACATCTTTTGGTGACCACCTTCCAGTGCCATTGGCTGGTTTGTACTTACTGACTGTCCCTTCTTGTGCTTACGCCTGTAGAGAACAGTCCAGTTGATCTGACGAGGGTTTCTCTTGGAAAGGAATGCAGACTCACATTTTGCATTCAAGAACTGAAAAACCTGGGAGAGAAAAATGTTTTGTGTAACTTCTGTTTCCATGAAAGACATTACCAGAGTTTGCATTAAGTATTCTTTGAGTCAGTGTTTTTCGACATTGATGTTTTTGGAGTACTTAAACACAGCTCTGGCTAGTCAAAATTTTAGAAGATAATTCAAGAAATCTCTAGTTTTGTATTTTGTTACATTGGTTAAATGGGTGTATTGCAAGGCATTCTGAAGCATTTTCGTTTTTCTGAAAAAAGTTCAAATTACCACTTGCATCCAGTGCCGCTGTGTATTTCAGGCATAGCATGAACAGCTGTGTCCAGCATCATGCTTCCCAAGTGTCTGTCCTCAAGCAACAATGTACTTCCCGTATGTGGGAGTGACTCAAAACTTGGCCTAGGGAACACGGGGAGGCCAATGCTCCACCCGATTCCCCCCCTGCCCAGTGACACTAACCTGTTTGTCTATAACAACAGGCAGAACGTGCAAGCCGGTTTGTTATTAGCTATATAATTCATTTAAAGTACAACCTTATTCCCAGGAGCACTCACAAGGATTCGGCCAGTCTATCTCCTGGTCATTTTGCTGGGAATTCAGCAGAGAAAGATGACTGTACTGGGATACTCAAAAGCCAAGCCATCCTTTCACAGGTAGGGACAATCCTGTCTGCCTATGACATGACAGCTTGAAGGGCTCTCCATCCTATTTTACTTAAAATATTTATACTCAATTAATTTGGGAGACCAGCTGTTGGCTCCAGCGAATCTCAGCATTTGATGCAGGACATCTAAGCAGCATTTTCTACACAACTTTGGTACTTTACACCTGCTGCTTTAAGACTCCCTTTAGAAACTGCATTGTAAAGCTCAACCCCAAGCTACACCACGGATCTCCTGCGGAGCAGCCACGGCAACTGCACACCGATGCTGTTTTGACACAGCTCGATACGAACGCCTCGGGCATGGGCCACATCAACACTACCGGAGTCTCCGGACAGTCCCAGAGGCGCGGCCCCGGCTCCCCGCGCACCGCCCGTCCGCCCTCCGGCCCGCAGGGCCCGCTCCGGCCCGCGGGGCTCGCCCCGGCCTCACCTTCCCGTCCGTGCGGGCGTAGCGGCGGCCATGGCCCGGGTAGATCTTGTAGCCGCTGAAGCTGCACAGCTCGACCCTGCGCGGGAGAGAAGAGTTAGGGGAGGGCGCGGGTGCCCGGGGGAGGCGGCCGGGGCCCCGCGGCGGCCTCCCCACGGCGGATGGGCGCGGATAGCGGCGGACGGGGCGCTCACTTCATGATGGCGGCGGCTTCGAGGGGCCGGAGAGGCGGAGGGGACGCCGGGAGGCGGTGTCGGCAGCGCCGCGCGGGGCCCGACGGGAGCGGAGCGGGAAGGGCAGGGCCGGGCCGGGCCGGCAGCACCGCCCCGCCCCGGCCGCACCGCGGCGGCTTCACGGAGCGCTCCCCGGGCCGGGCTCCCCCGGCGCAGCCTCGGCCGCGGGACCCGCCGCTCTAGCCAGCATAAAGGGCGCGGTGCTCCCGTAGCGGCCCGGCCCATCGGCGCTCCGTTGCCTGGCGGTGTTGTCAAGCGCGGGGCATGGCGGCGGCCGGGGCGGGGGACGAGGCGGCCGGAGCCGGTAAGGGCAGCCCCGGGCAGGTGCCGGGGGCCGCGATGTTGGGGGCTGCGGGTCCCGAAAAGCGCTCTGGCGCTCGGAGGGGTGCGGGGGGCTCGGCGCTGCGGAGGCGGCGGCGCCCCCTCCTCTCGGGGCCGGCTCGGCCGCTCCGGTGCCCCCGCTGTCAGGCGGCCCCCGAGGGCCCCGCGGGCTGGAGGCGGCCGGGGCTGCGCGGGGCGAGGGGAGCGCCGCGGGCGCCGCTTCCCGCCCTGAGGAGCGCCGCTGGCTCGGGGCAGGACGTGCTGGAGGGTCCCGCCGCCTTGTAGAGCCTTTATAGGCCAGGGTTTGAATGATATAGGGCCCGTTTTCCCTAGAGCGGAGGGCTGAGGGTCTTGGGGACAGCGCCACTTCTGAGGGTGTAGTTCCTTGGTTCCTGCCAAACGAGAAATAAGCGATTTTGAAATGTTTTCCTGGGTCCTGAAAGCCTATTAGGAAAATCTCGTTCCCCAGGTATTATATCAATGAGTCTTTAGAATGGAATCATATTAATTTTGTAGAGTTCCACGTGTATATCTAATTCATGCTGTATACTGAACTGCCATGCTTAAAGGATACCCCAGACTGGGAGATAGCGCCAGCACCCCAGGTCGTTTAACACCTGTGTGAAAACCTTCTTTGTCAGCATCATGGAGAAGTGATTGCAGCAAGTCTGACTGCAGGGATGTTTAATAGAGAAGCAGGTGGATGGTGTTGCCATAGAAATACAGGTTCTTTGCAAATAGTTGTGTGTGTTAAGTAGCAGTTGGATCATGTTATACTTGAATGTTGGAGATTTATGAGAACCGTGTGTAAAGCCACATTCTGAGTGCCCCAGTTTGAATGGGACACCTCGTGCATGAATAAAAGGATTACTCTTGCAATTCTGTACTCTGGGTCCTTGCTTCTCTCCTAGGTTGGAGGGGCCAGTTGTGGATTTTTGTAACAAACCCTTGGATAAATGAGCAGATGCAAAGTTTGTCTGATCAATTAAAGTGATCAAGCAGTTGTAGAAGTGACTGCTTGAGTGAGAAACAAGTGGTACTTCCTCCCTGAATGTGCAGACAGGAGTGTGATGATTGCTGGCTCTGCCTTGCTGCTCTCCAAAGCTCTTGGGACAACCATGGATTTGAAAAAATGATGAGAATATAATAAATGTCATCAGACATCTTTTTTTAGAAATGCATGTTCTCTAGCTGACAAAATGGTACAGAAAAAAAAATGTCTCCATCCATAGTGTAACTACACCCTAAAAGCTATAAACTGTAATATTAATATGTGCATCATATTAGGGTGAGAACACTATTTGGGATATGTTGCTGAAAAAGGAAGCATTATTTACTGAACAGATATTAAGAGAACAAGAAGCACTACAGTGATATTTGTACATCAACTACACAGCAGAGAGGCTCAATGTATGAAAATTATTACAATTATCAGGTGTCACTTTGGGTACCCAGTGATTCAGGCTCCCTGTAGATGGCAAATGTTTGCCTTTTAACTTTATGTAGTGACCCTTTTTGCATAGAACATTTGAATTGTGTGTTGTATTAAGTAAATGGTGTGCTAGCCCATTTACAGTTTCTTCTTCCCAGTGCCCCAGTACTGTAGTGTGGCTGCATGAGTGGCTTTTAGTTTAGATAGAATGCTTACACATAGTTAGTTGTCAAGCTGCTCAAAACTTAAATTCTCTGAAGAATTTTTAAATTTAGGTTCCTTTGGAATTTGGGGTTTTGAGGATCACACCTTTAAATTTAGTTACCAGAATTTTGCTGCATCTCACTTCAAAGGATTTTTGTGACTTTCCCAGAATTCTGCCAGAGTTCCTAAGTGGGACAGTGTCTGGTATATGTGTATCTTCCAGTAACTGGATCAGTTACTCTTAAAGTGTTCAAACTGAAGTCATTTGTTTCAGTTTTACATGGAAAAGAAAGTTAATCTGTTTTTCCAAATTATCTGCATCAATTATAAGCCAAATCTTTTTTATTTTGCATTGCTTTTCCAATACATGTTCTCATATATAAACTTTGTGGTGCTTTTTTTGTTGTTTTTTTCTCCTTTTTATTCTAAGGCTTGGTAGTCAACTGCTCAGGTCAAGGATTGCAAAAGCTGGGTCCAACCTTGCCCTGTGATGCTGATACTCAGACTCTGATTCTGGACAAAAATCAGATCATTAAATTGGAACACTTGGAAAAATGCAGGAATCTGATGCAGGTCAGTATTGCTTGATTTGAAATTGTTATCAAATAATGGTGCTATGATGTTAGCATCTTCTGCCTTCAGGCACTATTATGTTATTGAAGTAAGCTAGCAGTTACTGTCTTCACAGGAAAATAAATGATGGCTGGCTAAAGTAGAAAGCTTTGCCTTCAGTGGAGGTCTGCACTTGATAGTGGAGGGGGCTGTAACTAAAAATGAGCTAAGTAAATCCTAATGGGGGAGAGACATGATAAGAACACTTAGAAAAGTCACTGATAACTCAAATTTTGATACTTCTTAGCTTCTGAGTACATGAGCTTTGTAACATTAAAAATAACTTTGTATTATCACTGAAAGTCCTTCTGGATAGACTGGAAGCTGCCTGATAACTTTTACAGGCCAGCTACACTGAGTTGGCAGAGGTGGGGTTTGTTGCTACAACAAACCTTCGCCACACTGCCAGCTTGGTGATCATGTTACTGAAGTGTGCGTCTAGTCAGGATTTACCCTTTAAAAACTTTGTGGTTTACAGTCCTATTAGCACAGGACCTGACTGAGAATTGTGTGAAATACATTTTGTCCTCTGCCATATTGACAGTAAGTGCAGTTTTACACCAGGAACGGGGCAACAATTTGCACAATGAATTGGCAGTTCTGCTATTACAACCTTATTTTCATATGACACAATTCCTCATTCTTTTTCCTTTATTTAGCTGTTGCTAAGAGAATTTCCTCTTAAGTTTGTGGAGTGAGCTGTGAGGACTCATGTTCTTTGATCAGTAATTTATTTCCTGGCTCTTGCAGGTTTTTTGTCTGTGTCATTTACTTGAAATGAAATATGTAGACTGAACAATTATCTGTTGGAGTAGATTTTTAAATACTAGAAGTAAGACCTTACTCTGTCTGCCAGTTAAAACTGTTTGTTTTGTGTGTCCATCTGCAGCTCTCTGTGGCCAACAACCGGCTGGTGCGAATGATGGGTGTGGCAAAACTGACCAAGCTCAGAGTGCTCAACTTGCCTCATAATAGTATTGGGTATGTGGAAGGGCTGAAGGATTTGGTGCACCTGGAATGGCTGAATTTGGCAGGAAATAACATTAAGGTAAAGTATTCAATCTGTTGCATTTACCAGAATCTTTTGTTGTAGAAATTTGGAACATGCTGCAAAGAAATCTGAATATGTTTTGATTGGAACAATGTTACTATTTTGTGTCTGCTGGCTTATGAAGTAGAAGATGGTAGCTTTCGGAGTTGTCTAGGAAAAAATAAAAGGTGTGATATCAAAATGAAATGCAAGTAAGGAAGTAGTCTCCAAAATTATTATCTTTAAAATACAACTGTATTAAAACATAGTTTTTTATTTTGTGTTACTTAGCTAGTGGGTTTTTTATCTTTCAAAAGAATTTATAATTATTGATACCTGGTTTTATTTAGTAGCTAAAAAAGGGTTACTGTGAGTAACTGATTTCTTTATTTTTGTAGGCCATCGAACAAGTCAATTCCTGTCTGTGTCTTCAGCACCTTGATCTGTCAGACAATAACATAGCTCAATTAGGTGATCTCTCCAAGCTTACCTCACTGAAGGTAGGTGTTCTATCTCTGTTTTTAATGCATTCTGTACAGAAAGAAATTTGCTTTGAAAATTGCTGCCTTGAGACATTCACTCTTTGAACACTAGCTCTTGGAGCATTTTAATTCATTAAATGTAATTTCTAGAGAGAAGTGTGTAAATGTTCTTTTCCTTGTTTTGAAGGTGCAGAAGCTGAGGCAGTGATTTTTCTATAGCCACTCTAATGATTTTGATAAAGATATGATGGTGATATCTTCTTTGTAACTCTTTGTTCTCTTACCTCCTATCATGAATCAAACCAAAACATACTTCTAACTCTTCCAACATGCACGCTATAGAGAAAAACGTATCCAAATACATTTTTTTGGTAACTGTGACCAGAAAGTCTTACTTATCCTTCTTTTGCAATGTGTTTTTGTCAGGTGATGCCTGGAAAAGAAATCTGTGGGTTCTGATCAAGCATTCATTTCATCATGTGTTCATCATATGTTTTTATTTTATAGACTCTGTTGCTGCATGGAAATATTATAACTTCACTTCGCCCTGCCCCTGCTTGCCTACCTCAGAGTTTGACTGTTTTTTCTTTGGCAGAAAATGAAATCAGAGACTTAAATGAGGTAAGATATAGAAGACTGATCACTTTGTCTTTAGGTAGACTGAAAGAAGGAAGTGGAACAATTTTTTTGAGATTGTAACTGAAAATGGGCTCTCTTTGAAACAGCTCAACTTATAATATTTTACTTGTTTCTATGTAATAACCATATTTGCATTAGCTGCAAAAGCTAGTGATGTCTTTTAAAATTTAGTCTGGAAAAAAATTTGCCTTTCTTCTGTTATGTTTTTTTATTCAAGGATTTTGAATGGAACACTTTTAGGCCTAACCTTTTCTAGTTGTCTGAAGGTTGAAAGCTGAGCTGACTACATGCTGCAGAGACCTTCTGCAGCTGCTGGGATTAGAACAGAGGTTTGAATTGCACTTGTTGCCACTGACCTATTTTTCAAACTGTGTAAGAGAAACAAATAATCTGCCTGTGACTTTTGTCTTTATTGTTTTGTTTGTTTCATTTATTATAAGTAGCAGCCAAAACTCTTGGTTGGGATTTCATGTTGGAAGAAAATTTTTTGGTAATAATTTCTCTTCAAAACAGGGCAGGGTTTCTCCAGCTTTTTGGTTTGCCCCTTTTTTTTTTCTTTGTTTGTTTTCAAAACCCAATAGCTGTTGTAGTAAACTGGACTTATACTACATCTTTCTATACATAAAGCCCCATTCCCAATTTTAAGAGAAGGTAATACTTTCCAAGGACTAATACCATTTACAGAAGAATCATTGGGAACTTGCACTAACTGATAGAAGGTCCTTTGTAGTCCTTTGTGTTCAAAAATAAAATGTGGTTTTTGATTTGTCATTCTGTTGTTTTACACAAGCTGTCCAGCTGTAGTTAGGAGAAATGTGGAATGTTTTTCTCAGTTAACAAATATATTTTGTTTTCTCAAGGTTTCTTTCCTGGCCTCTCTTCACCACTTGGAGCAGCTGTCAATTATGAACAATCCTTGTGTGATGGCCACACCTTCTGTCCCTGGCTTTGACTACAGGCCTTATATTGTCAGCTGGTGTCTGAACCTTAAAGTTCTTGATGGATATGTGATCTCTCAGAAGGAAAGGTGACATAATAGTATTATTAAATCTCTAAAATTATTACATCAAGTTTGGCTAAGCTAAAATTGCTGTAGCTAAATTTTTCATCTTTTACACTGGAATTATTATTTAGTTAGCTTAGATAGAAGTATGAAGTTAAGCTTTTGTTTTGTTGCTCAAATCACAGAAGCACTTCTACAAAGCAAAACTGTGGTAGCAGTTCATCAGTGTCTGGTAGCCTTTCTTTACAGCCTCTTTGACTTTGCAGAATGTGACAATCAGCAGGAGTTAAAGCTGTTGTCTTGGGGGAAACTCAAACTTGCCTTTCTATAAGCATGATTTGTATGTGCATTTCTACATTTGGCTTTTTTTGTTATTGATTAGTTAAAAATTATTTTGCTCAAATCACTTGTTACTGTATCACTGTGCTCATTATATCACAATGATATCTGCATGACAAAGTTCTTGACATCAGAACAGCCCAAGCATAAACATTATCCAGTATAAGCACATTCCAGTCCAGGACACTCATATATCCTAGGACATTAATGTCCTTTTTTCCCTGTTATTAAAATAAAAAGGTGCCTTTCTTTTGGTCAGAGGTGAACCAATTCCATTTCTGTTTCACCATAACATGCTATGACTTTCCACGAAAGGTGCCTGTTGGAATTCTAGACTTCTTTTTCATGACTAATGGGATGTTCTGTATTAACTATATTATTACATGTGGGTGTATTATATTAAATAATATCAGGCAGAAATTAATTTGAAAAACAGACTTGTTGAATACTTCTTAGCAGTATGTGCTCTCTGTGTCAGTTTTGCATGTTTTTGTGAACTTCTCTGTTTCTTTGAAAGCTTTGCTGATAAGTTCATTGAGACAGATGTGTTTTCAGTGGCCAAAGATAACACACAAAGCAGAGATGCACAGTTTTGGACAAGTAGGTTTTTTCTTTTTTGTTTCATTGATGCTTAAGTGAATTAGTACATTACTCATTGTTCTGATAATGACATTGCCAGTTTCCCTGGGTGTTGGGAAGGATGAAAGTTTGACAAGAAAGTCTCACAGATAGGTATGCTTGGCAGAGAGATTTTTGAATGTGGAATCTGAAGAAGGAACAGAAATGAAAGCAAGTTTTGATATAGAAGAAGAGAATTGCTGAGCCAGTCTTACAGGCTCTTACCTGGGCATTGCACATGTTCCAAGTCTTGCTTAGATTTGTAGATTAGCTCTTTGGTACCCACTAGAAGAACTGTAGTGAAAACAGAGTTACTGTTTCTATGCTGATTATTAAAGGTGCCATTTATTAAACCATTTCCCCCTTCCTAACAGCTTGAAAGCAGAATGGCTCTACAGTCAAGGGAAAGGAAGGTCATTTCGACCTGGGCAGCATGTTCAGCTAGTTCAGTACTTGGCTAATGTATGTCCTCTCACATCTGTATATGGACTCCAGACTGAAGAGGATGCCAAACTGGAAAAAATACTGAGTAAGCAAAGGTGAGAATTTAGTTTCTTTCTTAGAGAATGTAATTGAGAACATAATTATATATCTGATGTGTTAGATGTGGTAAGATTTCATTTTTAAGTATTTCAAAGTAACAGTGAGGGCTGGAGATGCAAAGTGCCATGAAAGTACAGGATGTGTCCTAGATGGGATTGAGAGGCAAGGCAGCAGCAGCAGGAGTGTTTTTGTGCTTTCTGGGCCAACTAGGGGAAAATTCCTTTGTATTTTTCAGCCTGTGCTTTGTAGGACACTGAAAGTATTTTGTGTTAGAACTGTGATTAAAATAAACTGTGAACTGGGATTTTTTTTTTATTGCCACACAAAAAAATGATGAAAACTTCAAGAAGCAGCTTAGCTTTTGTTCTAATTGTAAATGAGGGCTACTGTGGTACACTGGTGTATTAGCCACTTTTTTATTATTGGAATGTTCTTTCTTGGTTTTAAAATTAAAGTTGTCCTTTGGGGGGCACTGTTCCCAGTGATGCGTTTGTCCATCTGTATCTGGCATCTGAGGTCTGTCAGCAGGGGCCTCTGGAGAGCCTGCTGGTTCTGGTAGCTGTGTTGCTAAGGTCTGTGCAAATAGATGAGTAGAGTTATCATGGTGTGTTTCTTGTCCATGTAAAGGTGAGCTAATTTTGGTTAGAAGCCAGAAAACAAAGCAGTACAGGTTGTTCTATTCCCCAGGACCTATTGACAAACTTTTTCTTGCTGAAAGAGCAGAAAATTCAGCTCCCAGAAGTAGGCTACCTAAGTGGCATAGTGTGGTTAAAAAGTTGAGCAACAAAGTGCTGTAGTTAGCAGAAGGGTGTCTCATCAAAAGGCCAGAAACTTGGGAGCATCTGGAAGGAGTTACTGCCCACTTTGCAAGTGTAGATTGGCCTCCAGGAGGAAATGGTGGAAATGTTTTGGCTGTTTCTGAGGAGAAGGTGCAGTCAAGGCATCTTGACCTTGGAATCTCTAGCTAAGTGCTCTAGCATTCACATCTTTCTGGGGAAAATCCAGGAAGTTGTTCTGTTGAATATAACTCTTCAAAAATTAAAAAAAAGCCCTCAACAACCAAGCAAAAAAAAACTTGAGTAGAAAAAGCAATCCCCCCAAATCCTCACCTGTATATATGTACATGCATATATGATTTATAGTTTGACTTCGTCCTCTGTCTCCTGAGCTTCTAATTTAGCTGGGCTGAGACAACCTGTGTGTTCTCTGAGCTTGTAAAGGATGATGTTTTTTTTGTGGCAATATTTGTTGATTTGTACTAGGATTTCGGGCTGTTAGTAACAGGAGCACCTATTCCTTGATTCACTCACTTTGAAATGTAAAAGATACTCCCAACATTCCTCATACTCCTCTATACCTAGACATATAATGTATTCCACTTTAGAAACTTAAAATATTTTCATGCCTTCTTTGTGTGTATAAGTACCTCATGGTTTTCAGTTTGTAGTCAGAATTGCACATTGGGCTTTTTCTCGTTTTTATTTGGTTGGTTTTTTGGGGTTTTTATGGGGATTTTTTGTTTGTTTGGTGGGATTTGTTTTGGGCTTTTTTTTTTTAGCATGTAATGAAGAAAGAGGGGCTGGAGGAAGGGGAGCAGGAAAAGACTGCAATTTCCTACTTTGTGGGTAGTCCTGTTAGTGTCTTGTGTGTAAAGGATTCTGCATAATAAGCCTCTCCTTTAGAATATTTTGATCATGAATGTTTCTTTTGAAATAGTTCATAGTTTCTTTTAGATGTTTTCTGTACAAAAGAAAGCTTAAGTAAAGCACAAAATCTATTGTTGGCACTCTGTGTTTAGACTCCACCAGAGGCAGTTGATGCATGAAAACCAAAATGAGGAACCACGGACATTTTCTGCTCCCAGCAAAGCAGTGCCAGTTGCTCATGAACACAGTGCCCAGGCCCAGCCATCACAGATGGTTCTTGAAAACGGTAAGTAGCTCATCTACTCCTGTGATCTAACCTGTGGAAATAAATATTTTTCTTTTGAGCATAGGTAACTTCATGGAAGGAATTTCAGAACAAGGCCCTGTTATTGTTTTATTTTATTGATCTTCTATTTTCTCAACTGAAGTTGTAGATTGTTTCTAAAAAAATCCAGTCCATGCTTATTTGTGTCTGGCTGGTTAGGCAAAAAACCCAATCCAACAAAATGAGAGTTACTACTTTGACTTTTGCATTTTATACAAGTTTATTCTCCAAGGAAGTGCAGTTTATGCCATTTCTTGTACCCAGTGTTTGCCAAGTTTGGATGTTACTGTGGTAAATATTGTCCTGATACAGAAATAATGCTCATTGTTACTAATATGTTAGATCATCTTACCCACCCAGGTGCTAACTGTCAAAACCAAATTGGGAACCCCTATGAATTAAACAAAGTACTTATATTATTGAAATACTCTATAATGTGCCTTTCTGCCTATTTAGAACCTGTCATCCAGAGGAATTCTTGGGTAGGACCAAGTGCAAACAATGATCATTCCTATGCAGTGAAGAATACTTTTCTTCATGAAAGAAGCTTTTCTAAGGAGCTACACCTCGAAGATGTACAGACAGATGAAGACAAACTAAACAGCAGCCTTTTATCCTCAGAGTCTACTTTCATGCCAGTTGCTTCAGGATTGTCTCCAGTGTCTCCTGCTTCAGACCTGAAGCTACATGGAATGAATTTGAGCCTAGAAGATGATGATGATACAGTGATTGAAGGTGTGAGAGATGTTAATAGAAGGGAAACAACTAAAAAGCAAGAAGCTGTGTCTGTTACAGGAGAGCACCCTAATAGAGCAGCAGGAAGTGTGGAAACCCAAGAGAATATCAAAGAAATCCAGCAGGTCGCTGCTCCTGAGCTGGTAACAGTTGGCCTGGCTGCAAGGACTGGCCACTATTTAGGGGCTGCTGAAGGCCAAGTTCAGCACAGTCACCCCAGCACCTTGCTAGGTGCTGAGTCAGGAGTAAAAACTCTTTGTCCTGAGCAGGTGACAGAAGAAAGGAATGCTTCACTGGCTGGGCAAGGTGCAGCAGCAGCTGATCGAGGTGCAGCTGAGCTGCAAAGGATGAGTGAGGCAGCTACCAAGCTCCAAGCTTCCTGGAGAGGATTTTACACCAGGAACCACCATCCTCAAGCCAAGGAAGTGCGGAATGAAATTCGCCTACACAGAATGCAGCAGCACATCATTTATTTAACGGCTGAAATAGAAAAGTAAGTTGAGGTCATGCTGTGTATTTGCAAGTCTGTCTGAATAGAGCTACCATTCCAGAGTATTTCAGATCAGATATAGATGATATAACTACTCACAGTAGAACCTAGCATCAGAAACATAGAAGTGATTACATTACAGGATCACTTCCTGTAAGGTAAGCACAGTTTTGCACATGGCTATTCATACTCTCAAAGTGCTTTCTATAAGTGGATTGGATTAGAACACATTTTTCTGTTCCTATTTTAGCAGGACTTGCATATTTCAAAATAGAAATTGCTGAGTGGGATTTTTTTTGTTTGTCTCCTCACAATTAGAGCCTATAAATCAAGTGTCCATATTGGGACCCGTTATTCTGTTGCTGGTGAAAGCAAGAATTTCCTCTACCTTGTATGATACAATTTTAAAATGTGACTGTATTTGGTTCTGTTTTAATTTTTGATCCTGTGAATTCATGTTTGGAGAAATCATGGTCAAAGTTCCTCAATTTGTTAGCCAAAAATTCTGGATTTACTTAATATCTTTCTGGATCAGCCTGGATCACTCAGTCTGACAGGCTCTTTTTCTTCACTCTCACAAGTGACAAAAGCTGTATAAATTGAGTGTTCAGTGAACCTCTAGAAACTCCCAATGCTTACACATCATACTCCATCCATACATCAGTGGGACAGCATAATTTGAAATGAAGTACTGTTTGGTGTGTGAGGGGGTGATAGTTGTGCAGGAAAAAGTAAGAGCTCGAGTTCAGTTTACAAAAAGACACATTATTGCCAAGCCAACAAATGTGCTGCAGTAAAAGGAAGCAGAATTTAAATGTAACTGAAAAAGAAACTTCAAGTCAGCAGCTGGGTATTTATGGCAAGCCAGACTGCAGTAATTTCTTAATGTTAGGCTCTGTTGTATCTTTCAAAAGTGCTGTTGTATAAGTAGGCATTTTTATGTGTTCTTGTTGCTCTTGTTACTCAAATGTTACTTATTTAAGCTGCATAAATTTTGGATGTGTGTTCTTGCAGACTGAGAAAAGAAAGAGAGGAAGATAAAATGCAAAGGCTTGTACAGGAGGAAGCTATCAAATTTCTTTGGAACCAGGTAAGTAATTTTAGTCCTCTTGTTTTTCTGCTTAAATGTGAATTTGGAATTCAAATTTGAATCTGCCTATGTGTGAATTCACATTCTTTCTTACTGTAGATCCTGAAGAGACAGTCAATATGGTTCAGTTTTTCCAATGATTTGAGTGGTTTAATAGACTATTACTGCTGTGTTGTCTGCTATACTGATACTATGGAGGGAAATAACCCTCAGGACATTACTGCAAGTACACTAGTTTTACTACTAAAAACTAAATAGTGGCCTGGTGTGAGAAGGAAGGCAAAATGCAAGAAAAGCTAAATAAACATAAGCAGGACTGTGAAGAATTATGTGACTGGTAAATGCCCATGGTAAATGAAATGACATCAAGCTGTGTTGCTTGTGAGCAACTCAAAAGTTGTTAATACAACTTTTAGGAAGGAAAGTTGTTAATACATCTTTTAATAAGCTTTTCTTCCAACAATAAGGTTGTTTTCTTAAAAATGGATAAATCCTTTCTGGTTTTAAGAAGAGATTGCTTTTTCTTCAGGTACTTGAACTGGGAGCTTTTGTGCTCTGTTAGTGTTTGGTATGTAGGTTTAAAAGCCATGATTTCACAGTAAGAAGAACAAAATTCCCCTAATGATACAGGAAATCTTTTTTTTGTCACTTGGTCTTGGATTTTATACTAGAGATTGGTTGCTGAATGCAATAAATCCACTAGAAATCCAAATATGTTTATCTGCATTTCATAATAAATTTTTCTCTATACAGGTTAAATCCCTTCAGCAGTGGCAGCTTTCAGTGATGCAGAATTTAGGTGGTGCTGGGATCCCTTCAGCCAATACTTTATGTTTATCCAAACCACCTCTTCAGTCATCCACAAGGGAGCAAGAAACCCCCCCAGCTGTTAGTTCTGCTTTGTTAGCTCCAGCTAGTGAGGATGATCTCCAGGAAAAGTCTTCGTTGCAGTTCCCAGATTCTGGCTTTCATTCTGCAGCTGATCAGACTCGTGCCAGTGAACTGTGCAGCTCTGCAAAGAGCTCAGCTGAAGGAAGTGAGAGCTCCCTTTCCATGGAAACCATCAAACAATATGGCAATTGTGTTTCAGCATGTTGCTCAGATGGAGAGGGTGGGCAAAGTAAAGAGAGCTCTAGTAATGGGCAGGACAACGGACTGATAGAACAGTATTTAAAATCTGTTCAGCAGCTGGAAGAGGCTGATGAAGACACAGATTGCAATGAGGAAATGGAGGGCAGCTGTCTGCAAGTGTCTGTGTCAGCAGAAAGCCAAGATTCTTCCTCTGACACTGTCTCTGTAGAGCTCCCTCAAGACACATCTTCCCCAGTCCAAGGTGAAATCTGTCAGATACCACCAGGAAGCTACAAACTGACTTCAGGAATAGTAGAAGGGAAGCAAACAGACTGTGATTCTTCATTCCAGATGCTGCATGTTGGGATAGCTGTATAATAGGATGGTTTCCGCAAAGGACTAGGGATTCCATTTCACTTTCTCTTTCTTCTTCCTGTTTATACAAAACTTGCTTTTCATGTGTGCTGTTTCAGATTCTGACTCATGTTATGAATTTATGTTGTAATTACTATTTTATTGATGTTGCTGAGGATTGATACTAACTATGCTAACCTGAAATCAGTAAAGTTCTCAGTGACAATCATTATGCACTTTATTTTCAAACATAAAACTGGTATCCTAATAACTGGCCTCCATTAAATTAATTCTGAAGATTGGTGGGTGGATGGTGGTGGTGGTAGTGTTTGCTGTGAATTCACTTTGGTGAATGTGTTAGTAAGTATTTGTTTGGTTTTTTCCTGCAAAGAAAGATTAAATTCTTATTTTGCAAAGAGAAGAAAACAATATGGGAAGAAATTGAGTCAATACAGGCAATATATCCTGTCATAGATGGTATACAGCCCCCTGAGAAAGATGAAAAGTTGCTTTTCAGACTTCTTTTGACTTAAACAAGAGTAACTTGGTCAGGGTATCAAAGATGCATTCCAGAAAACCAGTGTCCGAGTCAGTGACTTTTTTGTAAATAACTTGAAGCTGCTGGCAAGAAATTAGATCATTTACATACACACTGAAACGAGGAATTTCAGGAGAGTAACCTCAGGGAACTTCAAACAAGCTTTGACCTTTGTTTGCCCTGGGGTTGAATTTCCCTGCTTTCTCAGGTAAGACTCAAAATGGAACCAGTAGCAGCCAGGACTAAGGAAGAATTTCAGAAGAGCATGTGATTTGGGAACATCATTTCCAGGGCTGCCCTGCTGGGTTGCAGCAGCAAACTTGGTGGTGTGTGTTTTACTTCACTAGGATGCTAATGTCTGTGTGGGATTTGGATTTCAGTGGCTTTCAGGACATCAGTGAGTTTGATGGATCACAACTACTTTTATCTACAGGTATAAATACTAAAAGCAAATGCCATGACTTAACTATTTCCTGATATCTCTGTTGGGTTTTTTGCTTGATTTTTTTTTTTTCCCCTGTATGTCCACTAGTTGACATTTTCAGTAAATGTGGATAAAAAGTTGTATTTCTTCCCTGTTAGCAAATGTGCTGAGATACTTAGGCTATGCTTTCCATTTAAACACTGGGAAAGCAGCAGGGTTTGTATCTCAGCCAGCCATTGCTATGTTGGGTTTTTTAATGGAAAACTACTGGGTATCTTAGTATACATCAACAGTGACAAGGGAAATCTGTTTTGCCATGTGATTTGTGATGGACAATAGTGAAATAAAAGTTGATGTTGTGATTTACAGGGGTCAGTTGCATTTTGCAACATGTACTGGAAGCCCAGTGTTGCAGTAGTTTGCTAATGTTTACTTCTCAGTTACAGACACATGCTTTTGTAATTCTCTGGTTCCACAGGTTAACTTCTGATGCTACGGTGTCCCTAAAACCAACTAGCGCTCTTTTAAAAGGACTCTTATGGCCACGTTACCATGTAAAATAATTTAGTTTTTGTGAAAGCTTTGGTTGCATGTCTGCTTTTGGTTCCAAGCTGAAATTTGCCACTGCTCAGGAGTTTGGTATGAGGCCAGTATCTGCTTGAGGCATCAAAATATCCTTTATTTAGAACATAAATGGTGTTTTGGACTTGTACCAGCCATCTTCCCAGTGGTGAAGTTCACCTTGGAGGAATAAAGCTTGCCTCTGTGTTTAGAGTAGCCATCATCTCTTTTTCTCCCACCCCAAAAAAGTTCTAGGGCACCAACTTCTCCAAAGAGCTGTCTCTGCAGTCAGGCTGATCTTTGACTGTGCCTTGCATAAGAGGAGCATTAAAGAAAACCTGGAACAGCAGAGGTGGTAGGTCCTTAGTGTGCTGTCCTTCTAGCTGAATGTAGTCACAGCACATTGGTAGCATGACCATATTCATAATTAGATCTTGGAGCACAGTTGTGCTTGGGTATTGAAAATGGTACAGGTGCATTAATGTGTCACAGTGCCTGATTACCTGGGCAAAGCAGGGTGGAGTCCATGGGATCATAGCCTTGTCCTCTGAAGGTGCTGAACTTGGCTTTAAATCTGCCTTGCCTGGGGATCTGCAGTTGATAGGACTTAGCTCTTTGAATGTCAGTATGTTATATAAAACCCCCAAATGTCAAATTGCAGATTGAGAGAGGAATTATTTCAGTGTTTGAAGCAGTTCTGGATCTTGCACTCTGGAGGCAGTGGTCAGGTGTAAGTTCTCTTCCATGGCAGAGTGTTTTATTGCCAGACCTGGAAGGAACTAGACCACTGCCTGGATAACAATGTTTCCCTTACTGGAGACTCTGAGGGAGCATATGTATTTTCCTGTTTTGGATTGTCACTTTTGCTGTGCACTTAGAGGTGAAACAACTTTAATTTTGGACTTGTCACAGGGGGAAAACTTGGTGCAAGTAAATTTTTTTATGGAAGCCCTAGATGTTTCTTGTTATTTCCTTTTCCTGTTAGAACTTGCAAGCACAAAGACAAGACAACTTGCTTTAACTAATGCTGAGGTCAGCTGTTGTCCTTATTAATGTGTAACCTGTATATACAAAAATGGTTTTATGCAGGTACAGCAAAGCATGTACCGACAAATATTCAGCTTTATCTTACTTTTTCTTGGGAAACAGTGAAATACTAGAAAGTTTTTTTCTAATGTTCTGAAAAGTATCTTGCATGTGTAGAAGATGAGTTGCCTAAATATAGAGAAATCAAAGAATGGTGAAGTTTTTGGATTAGTTTTTACAGGGTTAAATGTAATTATAGTTTGTATATACAGAAAATATTTTCATCCTGACCATTAAAATACATACAGGGAAAGACATAATGAGGGATACAATGGAAAAATAAGGAGTAAAACTGAATGTATACTTAAAATTGTCTTCTTTCAGCCCTGTTTTGAACTCTCAAAAAATCATGATGTGGAAGTATCATAGTTTAATATATGACTTAGCATTTACTCATCTTTGTTTAAGTAAGTTTCCTTAATCTAGGTGTGCAATATTCTTTTAGCTGGATAGGGATGCAGTTTTCCTTTGGAGGTGATGGAAATTTCATAAAGAAATTGGAAGGCCTAAAATAGATCTGAAACTTTCCTGTGTTAATATTGGATTCTTTCCTTTTGAAAGGCTTCATGATCAGCAGAAGAATGTACTTTGTAGAAGAAAAGCTTATCTCTTGTGTTTTGTCCTGGGCTGATCCTCCAATGTTAGTGGGAGAGATCCCTTGGTTATTTGCCAGGTGGTGTTGCCAGCTCTGCTGTGAGTACAGTTGAAATATTTCTTTAATTTGCTTCAGAAAAATCAGATAAATATAGCTTAGGCTATTTAAACTGCACCACACAAGTAGTTTTGCTCCAGATGAGGTAGCTGGCACATGAAGGCCTGTTTTCTGCTAGTCTGTGGTAGAAATTACTCCTTTTTCTCTTTTTCTGAAGGCTGGGACAAGTAATTCTATATACCATAAAGGAAGAAGGCATTAAGACTGCAGATTTTATTTTGCTGCTTCTAAACCACAAATGTCCTTCAACAAATACTTGAGAAAATCCTTGCTAAACTAAATTGCAGAAGCCTAACAGTTGTTGATAGTTAAGTTGCTTAAACAACCATAGATTCCACTATTTGCATGCAGCAGTTTAAATAATGCACTTAGCAGCCAGTGTCTATATTGAAAAGTTGGGTTTTTTCTGAATAATGTTTGTATTTGAGCTTGCAAACTGTTCCTGGGTTTTCTTATGATTTTGTATATATTGTCTGAAGAATTCCAATTTTTGTTTCTACTTGTAGCAGGTTATCTGATGAACAAAAATGGAATACATGTTCCTTTGAGATTACCTGGGTAATTTTTACTGCACTTGATGTTCTCGTGTGTCTCACATAGATACTTTTTCCTGAGAGGATAAAATTGTAGCAGTTAGGGGAAACTGACTAAATGACAAAAAACCATAAAAACCGGTCAGTTCCCTGCTAGTGGAAAAGACACTTCCTTTTTTTTTCCTCTCCTCTTGTATTAACTTTCCCCCCTTCCCCCCCACCCAAGTGAGTATGCATCAAGTATTCATAAAGTCTTTCAAAATGTCTTCTTTTAATAGTTACACTTCTTTATTTCCCAGATTAGCTTTCTAGGACAAGTTACTGAGAAACACTTGCTTTCTATATGCCTACCAAAAAGTTGGTCTGTCTATTTTTAAATGTTTTCTTTGTCAGTAATGGAAAAAGCACAGGATCCCTTTCTTGCAAGAACATAAACCAGTATTTATCAGGAAAGGTGCTTTATCTCTTAGAAAGTGCCATGCCAAATTTTATTGTGCAAGAGCTCTCAGTAAGAATCTTTTTTTCTGGCTTCATTACGTTTATAAGTATATGGGCCAAATTTATTTGTAGCATAATTCTACTGAATTAATTTTTTTGAGACTTCACAGTGGTATTCTACCTCTAAACTAGAATTTGAGAAGAAAAGAACAATTGGGTATTGGTTTGTCTCTCTATTTCTTGCTGTTTTCTGTGAAGAATGGTGGGTGGTTAAATTGGTACAGTTAATATATTTTCTATAAGTGTTTACATTTTGGATTTATTGTTTCTTAAGTATTTTGTTTGTATTGCTGAGTTTTGAATTTTAAATAAATGATTTGTACATTTATTGAAAATTTTAAGGTGTACCTTATATTGACTTTTATGGCTATAGTCATAATCTTACAATTGGAGAGCTCTCCTGGACATGGGAAGCTGAAGAATAGAAAGCAAGTGATGACAAGATAAGCATTGGGATTCTTTCCTTGGCACAGCTGAGACATCTCATGGCCACTGTTCCAGTGCCTGGGACAGTAAGAGTGTAGTAGGGTACATGAAATGAGTTCACCAACGACTCTGAAATTGGTCTTTGTGATTTGCAGCCCTTTGTTTCCAGTGCTGGCCCTCTTTTGTGCTCTTAATTACCTGCTGTGTTTGAATTCAAAGATGTGGCTGTGTTCTGTGCCGAGTTTTCTAGAGAGGGAGTTAAGAAACACAATTGCAATGTGTGGTGTTGCCTCTCTTGGTTTGGTCAGATAGCTGCTCTCGTCTGAAACAAATGAAGGCTAATTAAATTTCTTTTAGGCTTTAGCAAAAAGAAACAGTTGAGGAGTTCAGACATACATGAAAGTCGTGTTTTACTGCAACACAATTTTCTGAAAGGTAAAAAAAAGTAAAACAAAAACAGAACTGAAACAACATAGCTAACTGTGTTTTCACTCAACTTGGAACACGTGGAGGTTTGTAGACATTTTAAACTCTTTACTATGTGTTCCTACTTCATTACACCAAAGAATTTTTTTTTTTTAAGTGGGACTCTTCTATATTTACTGTTAGGGTGGTGAGGCACTGGAACAGGTAGCCCAGAGAAATGGATACCCCACCCCTGGAAGTGTTCAAGGCCAGGTTGAATGGGGCACTGAGCAATCTGGTCTGGTTTCTGCTATGGGCAGGAATGCCCTTCCCATGGTAAGGGAGTGGGAACCAGGTGATCTTTAAGTTCCCTTCCACCTCGTTCTAGGACTCTATTTAAATAACAAGAATAAGCATAGCTAAAGTAACTCCACTTCAGGTATGAAAAAAGAAGAGCAGTGCCCTTTTCTTTTAAAGGCCTTAAAGCTGTACTAGTAAGTTTTAAATGCTGTGTGTTGTAGGGACAGTAACCACAGCACTTCAGGAACTCAGGTTGAAGTTCACTCTTGTCTCTGGCTTCTATTTATATTTGTAATAAGATCAGACCTTAAAATCTTTGGTTAGATTTGGAAAATAAAGGGATGACTAGTGGGTGGGCCCATTTTGATCAAATGGAAATAGTTACTTTTAATTTTATGGGCTGAAATCCTCATCTATGCTGAGACCACCCTGCCCACTCATTGGTGGGGTGGTGTGAGAAGCAGAAAAGCCCTTGGCTCTGTAAGCACTGCTTGGCAGTAGCTAAAACTGCCCCGTATTATCACAGTTTCCAGCACAGTCAAACACAGACCTATCATAGTCACTGTGAAGAAAATTACCTCTATTCCACCCACAACCAGTATAGGTGCTCCTTCTGATGTGTGCAAGATGATATTCACCAAGGGAAGGAATATGAGAAAATTGTGCTCAGGATGCCCAGATTAAACAAGTTGCCTCTGACTTCTAAGATGCTCTAAACTGTGAAAATTGAGATCATATGAATGCTGATATAAAGAATGCTCTGGAAAATGTAAAATCTGGCACATTGTTTAAAGTGCTCACGTGTTGGACTGAAAGCCATAAACCATTAGAAAGGCCTAAACAATTCTCAGACAATGTACTGAGCAGTCTAGTAGTCAGGGATGTTTGCTTAGCCTTGTGCTAAACTAACTGCATTCAAGCAGCAGCCTTTGGGAAATCTCTTCCTATCCATTGCTACACCAGCTGAAGTTATCCAGTCCCCTGAGCATTGGCAGCATGTTTTCTGCTGTGGGAAGTGCATGGAAAATGTGCTGAGCATCCTTACTGCTGCTTATGCCTTAGAGCCTGTGGGACCTGGGGAGAAACAGGAGACCCTGAGAAACTCCACAACCAGGATTCACTTTTCTTCTTTTCATCAGTAGTTCCTACAGCCCCTTCAACCTGAAGTTTTGGGCAAATGCCTGTGGTATTGGAACCCATGTTTTCCAGACTGGCTCTCCAGCTGCCTTGTAATGTTGATCTCTCCAGGGCAGAGATGCACTTGTTCTCTCCTCATTGCAGCTTGCTCATTCCCAGGCTCAGTAGCTTGACAGAAGCTTGGCTTCCCTGTTGGTCTCTGATTCTTTGGCTTTACTCACAGATAGGGAAATTGTTAAACATATGAACTAGGCTTTATTTTACTAGTAGGACAAACAAGCTGCCTTTATCTCACCTGCTTTCTCACATTCCTAGCTGCCTGATGCTTTCCTTCCTTTGGTGTAGCAGTGTCAGTGTTAAACTGGCAGAATCTATTCTGGGCTGCCCATGGCTGAGATGGCTGTGGCCATGTCCATTGTGTGGTGGAGAAGTAGAAAAAAAGACCAGGACGAGTTTCTTTTAGTCCCAAAGGTAAGCAGAGCCACCTGGAAGAAATGGAAACCTGTGTTCCTTCCTGCCTGTCCCTGGAGTGGGAATGCAGAACAACTGCTTGAGCCAGGTTCATGGAAAGGCTGATGCCTCTAGGAAAGCTTCTCTGTCACCTTTTGGAAAAGGACTTGAGGAAGCTGTAAGATGATTCTTCTAACAAAAGCGTTATCCCTTTAAAGCATTAGATGATGTGAAAACCATCTGATGGCACCAGCTCAGCAAAGGAGTTTTTCCAACAGCTAAATTTCAGTTCTGCCTGAAACCAGGGGCCATGCTGAACTTGTGCGCAAGGTGAGAGTGAAACTTGCTGTTCTAAGGACTGCAGAAGTACAAGACCTGGATGGTTGTGGAAGGGAAAAAGTATTGAAGAAGTGATACAAGGGTAATATAACAAAAGGAGACAGATCAAAGGTGTCTTTAGAAAGGGAACAGTGTGGGTTGTGTTCTTTGCAGACTGTCCAATGCATTGTTTGTTAAATCTCACCATACTTCAGCACAAAAGTGTGTTTTAATTTGCCTCAGGGAGCAAACCAAAACATTCCTCAACACTTGCCTATAATCAAGAATGGGTTCAGTAGTCCCATATATATTATCAAAAAATATTGTGTTTTATTGACTATTTTTCGTAGGTAAGAGAGAAAAGGGCAATGGGGTCAAGGGCCCAGCATAACTTCATCTTACTGCATATAATTCTGGAAAAAAAATAAGGAAATCTGATTATTTTTCACTATCCAGTTTTCTGTGCTCAAATCAAAATAACTGGCAAGTGCTCCTGGTGTGATAAACAAGGAGGGATGTAAGGTGAGCAGCAGCTGCTTAAGCTGTACTTCTTTTGGCACTAATGACATTTGGATGTTGCATGGTGATGAGGTGGAACAGACCTCACTAATGCCATTGACTCTCAAATAACCCAAACAGCCTCTTACATGGGGCTTTTTGTAGAGCATGGGGGCAAACACAGAGTAATTGGTTAGTGGTCTCTGTGCAAAAGGACTTCCCATGTTAGAGATTAGAAAGTCATATTTAATTCATTATTAGGTCTTCATCAAGACTAACTATAATGATAACTGAAGAATTTATGGAGAGAAATAGTGTGGGGGATCACTTCCCATCTCTGAGGGAATGTGAAAGGTAAAGTGTGGCAAAAGCTAGCATAGCAGTACCTATTTCCTTAGAAGTGGCAGGTTTTCGAACTGTTGTCACCTTCCATACCTTCACCCCCAGCATCACTCCAGATATATTAAGAGATGGATAATGCTTGGCATTTAGCACACATGTTTTGCCTTAGTTTGCACTTTGAGCTGCAGAGTTTGTAAGGGAATTTGATGCACTGCATGGCTCATGAAGGAAGTGTGAAGAGAAATGAGACTGCTATAGAACTGATAGACTTTGTGTATTGAGAGGGAAAAAAAATCAGTACCGATTATGTTTCAAAATACTGTCTTTTTAATGTGTTCTGCTCGTACAGCCAGATGGCTTTCAATTCTTGACCTACAGTGTATAATAGAAATAAAAGCTGGTGCCTGTTAGGATTTTGCTTTCTATCTCTACCAGGTAACCACTGTTGTAAGATGCAGAAAGGAGAAAAATAGAGATAAGATCACTTCTTCAAAATAGCTATGGCTGGGGCAGAAGTCAGAAGTAGGCAATTTCTAATGGCTAAAATACTATGTTCGCAAGAACGTTTCAGCTGCTCTGGCTTGTTTCTGGTTTTAAGCAACCCACATATTCCTTAGTAAAAATAAGCTTAAGCCCTTAAGCTGCACTCATACAAAGAACTTCTGGCAGGTGAGTGTTTTGGCATTCCCAAACTTATGCAGCGTTTACAGAACTAATTGCAGATGTCCTGCAGATTGAAAGTGCCACCCGGCTCTGGTGCAGGGTGCGAAGCTCAGCCCTGACTGTGTCACGTTCTCATCAAGCACAGAGAAGTCCTGCCCCAGGGCAGCAGTCTTTGCCCGGTTCTGCTGGGCCGTGCCTGCATCCCCCGCTCAGCCCCGGCAGCTGCTCTGGGTCCAGGCTCTCCTTTCTCAGCCTCCTCTCTGTCCAAGAGCCGCATCTGCTGTTTCCTGCTCCGTTCGCCCTCAGCCCCGGCAGCGTTTTTGCTGCGATGGTTCGTGTCAGAGCCTTCTCCCTTGGCTGGGGACCGTGTTGATGCCACCCAGGCCACAGCGCTTGGCTCCGCACCGCCCTCCCACATCCTGCTTTCCTAGGCTTCACCTGCCGTGGCTCAAAAATAACAGGGACGGTGGCGTTGTTTTTGTTGGGTTTTGGGTCTGTTTCCCTCTCCGTTGCCCCTTCCCGGCTGCGGCTGCTGCGGCGGGGCCAGCGCCGCTATCGGGGCGGGGCGGGAGGAGGCGCGGCGGCCGCGGCAGCCGCTGTGTGAGGGGCGGGCAGGAGGGAGGGGCGGCGGGAGCCGGGCTTTTACAGCCAGCGCCTCCGGGCCGGGGGCGAGGCCGCCGCCTGGCCCGGGGGAGCGCCGGGGGCTGCGGTGAGGGGGCGCGGGCGGCGCGGCCTGGCGCGGCTCGTCTGGGGAGCGGGGGGAAAAGGACAGCCCGGCGGGGCAGCCGGAGGGCGGCGGGCTCGGGGCCGCTGTGGGAGGCCCGGGGCGGGTGCGGGGTCCCGGGGTTGGTGGATGCCCTGCTCGGATCCCCCGTGGCCGCGGCCGGGTCCGCCCGCCCGCAGGGCCGCGCTGCCCGCGCCGCTCGGGGTGCAGCGAGGCGGCGGCTGAGGGAGCTTCCTGCCGGTGCGGGGCTGCCTTGTGCCGCTCCACGGGCACGCCGGGGCTGCCTTGTGCCGCTCCCCGGGGATGCCCATCCCGCGGCATCCTAAAGTACCTTTGAGGCAATAAAGCGGAGCTGTGCGGCTCGCACTGCCCGCAGCGGTGCTTCCTGCTCGCTGCCCCCGTCCCTGGCCCGGGGGTGCGTGTCCGGTCCCGTGTCCGCCGGCGCTGCGGCGCTGTCCCTGGGATATCGGCGGGCTGGGGGCCGCCGGCTCCCCGTGCCCCGGGGACCAGGGCGGAATCTGCGGAAAACAGCAGCAAATCTGCTTTTCCGTGCTGGCAGCCAGGCGAGCATCAGCCCCTGTGCCCCAGTGACATGGTTTGGGCATCGCCAGGGGTAGCGGCTGCTCTGTGCTTCGGAGATTTGCATGGCAGAATTTGGAGAGGTTGCACTCACACCTGCCTTTGTAACGCTGCTGGCTCAGAGAGCTGAGGGGATAGAGAGCTGACAGGAATTGACAACTTGTAAAGAAACCCAAAGCAACAATCCTGTAATGGAGCATGCGGCGTAATTTAATGACGTATTCATAAAAATGTCATTTAATCGGTTTTTGTTTTTAACATTGGGTAAAAAGGGGCTTGTGGTAACGTGGAAAAAAGCTGAGAGAAGTAATGCTTAGTAATAAATAGCAGAAAATTCAAATGCACAGCATTGAAGTTTAAAGGAATAAAATACTTCAACAAAATCCTTGGGTAATTGTAGAAACTAAAGTGATTTTACAGGTAAAAAGTTGTAACTGCCATTTTATTTTGTGCCACTGTAAGCAAACCACCAATGTATATATTTTACTAAGAAATATTTGTGTGTGTTTCTATAAATATATTTATTTTTTAATGTATTGTTTCCAAGGTTGTTGGCCTTTTGTGTGGATGGCTTCAGAGAACATTTCAGGAGTAGGGTAAGTCCTAAGGCTTTTTAGTGTATTTATGGGCTTCCCTTATACAAAAAATGAACAGGATCAATTGTTCACCAATTTTGATGACACTGGCAGTATAGTAAGCTTTTAGCATAAAGAAAGCTCTAAACTTGTACATTTAAATGTTTTAGGGCATGTGACATCTACAGAATACAGAAAATTTTAATAAAAATGTATGGTACAGCATTTGTGGTATTTTTAGGCATCTGAAATTATATCTGAAATTTTAGGCATAGGAAATTACATTGCATTTTCAATGTCTTTTCAGTGATGTGGAAAGAACTCTCAGCAACAGAACTGAAAAGTCTGGTTTTGTCTAATGTATTTGTTTTTCTTCCTCAAATGGACATATATGTCCTTAAATTACCATTTTCATGTACTCTAGGTATATTTAGTATCAATTTATGCTGTTTTATGCAAATTTCATATTAGTGCAGAACTGTTCCAACAAAGCTGCATTTTTTGGCATTTTGATACTTTCACTTTAATGGATGCCTTGCTCTTTCAATGTCAGTTCATTGGTCAGAAATACAATCTCTCTAATTCTCAGCAAAGCATTTGAAGTTATAATCCCTATAATCCTTGTAAAGCAATTTGATGTGTGGTCTATTTTGAGGCTGTCCTGGTTATACCAGTAATGTTTTTCAGTTTTCTAGCCTATATTAATTTGATAAATAATTTTTTAATTTTGATATTTAATGTGTCACTGTGTTTCATTTAAATTTACACAGCATTTTTCATATAGTCTTAAAACTATAGGTACTATGTATTATATCTTAATTGTATAAATTCTCAGTTATACTATTTATGGAAAGTTGTACCAAGTTTATGTAATCATTTGATTATGTTGTTGCACTTGGTGCAGGGTTGTATGAGTAATGCTGCTTTGAGGATGTTTGGTTTGGAGAGATTGGTGTCTTTTGAGTGTCTCTTCTTGCCATCTGTTTTCTGCTTCCAAGTTTAGAGCTTCTGCAAGAACAGTACCCTTTTTGTTTGCAAAAAGGCTGCATCAAAATTGTCCTTCTCAGAAGGAAAGGAAGGCTTAAGAGTCATTCTGAGCAAGCATTGAGATCTTTATCAGTGGCTGTAAAGTGTGTGATTTTATAGCAGATCTGTTATCAGGCAACCTTAAAGGAATGCTATTGTATGAAAGTTAAAGTTTATGAAAGACAGTACTATTATTACATTTAAAGAACCAGAAACACCAAATCACAACACATTGTATTCTTTCCAGAAGTTTATTTCTTTATTTTTTGGAACTGCATATGAGTACCTGAGATAAAAGCAATGATAAAAAAGCAGAACAGGGAAGATGTAAAGTAATGTAATGTTATAGATGGTGCATGAAGTTAAATTTTAGTGCTTTCAACTCTCTTAGGTATCTCCCGTTTAATGCTACAGTTGATTTATTTTTCCCCTCTTCCCAAGCAGCAAACTGGAGGAAGTAAGTTTTACCTTGCTTATCCAAATTTATTTCAGACACCAGTGTTTAATAACAACTTAATGGAATGTGTAAACAGGTAAATGAGAGATGTCCAAACCCACAAGTTCCTGCTATAAAAGTTAATGAGAGATGTCCAAACTCACAAGTTCCTGCTATAAAAGTTAATGGGAGATGTTCAAACCCATGAATTTCTGTTTCAGTCTGGACAGTGGTATTGTGGCCTAACAGATAAATAGGGTGGTGGTAATTTGTTTTGGTCTTTTTGATAGCCAGAATGAAATCTTGTGCTCTTCTTTTGCCTTTTTTTGGAATCCACTGCAGGTGAGACCAGCTTTATGATAAGGGTTTGCTTTGGCAGATCCAAGAGAATTCTGTAACATTACAGATAACACTGTTCAAATTAGTTCCACAAAAACAATCTGCATTGACTGTTCTGTTGTACTGGTTATTGCCCCACCATTTGTAAGCTTTCAGTGCAAAACTTGACTTTAGTTCTAGTAACTTTCTGGGACTTAACAGAGTTTTTGTAAATGCACTTGCAGGGATGAGGTGGAAGGCAGCTGAGTTCTCTCGTGCCCTGCTGAGACGAAATGCCATTCCCGTTTGCGGCGGACAGAAGCCATGGCAATGTGTAACATGGGAGGGGAAGGCACGGCTGGACCATGTGGCGTGACTCGCTCAGACTGCAGCTCTTCTGCCTGCTCATGGCAGTGCTGGCTGTCGTGGTGCTGGTCCATAACTTTTTCCAGTTAGAGGTAAGTGGAGCCTGTTTCTTCTCCAAGATGGCTTGAGCAGCGTTATTGGCTTTTGAGTGTGAGGTTAGAATTGTCTGACTGACAGCATTTAGCTGTAAATTGGAATCACAGAAAATTCATAGTTGAAGGCATGTCTGGGGGTGTTTAATCCAATACCCTCCTGAAAAGGCTGGCATCAGAGTTAGCTTGGATTGCAACAGGGTGTTTTGACTTTTGACCATATTCAAAGACACTCATATTTTACAACCTACCTAGGCAGCCTGTTGAAATGCTGCATCCCTCTTAGAGGGAAGAATGTTTGCCTTAAGTGCAACCTTTTGTCCTATTAGAATGTACTTTAACTCCAGTTCTTCTGTGACTCCCCTGTGGTTAGTGAAAGACTGCAGTTAGGTTCCCTTTTGGTCTTCTCTAGAATTAAAAAAAGATGCTTTGGTTCCCTTAGTGTCATTCCAGTTCCCTAAGCATCTCAAGGGTTCTTAACTAGTCTTGCCAGCTTTTCTCTGGCATGGGTTGTCCAAAAGCCAGACACAGTGTTCTAGGTGTGACTTCACCATAGTCTAGTTGAGGAGAACTCTAACTTTGCTCAATCATCTGCTTAGGATCTTGTTAATTCTTTGCCACAATGCTGTGCTGCTGATACATGGTGAGTTTGCTGTCTCCTGGAGTCCCTAGGTCTCTTTCTGCAGAGCTGTTACTGGCTTGTTCATCTCCAGCCTGTCTGATGCAATTTTTGTTTACCTTTCCCTTTTTCCCTCTGCTGTATCTGTCTTGCATATTTCTTCATTTTGCTTCTCACTTCAGTGCAGAGGTACTTTCAAACTGCTTAGTCAGTAAGCCCATAAGATTAAAGCCAAGGAGGATGAGGATGTGTCTGCAGGAGCCCTGGAGGCTGACCCCGCTCACTGGCTGCCTGCCTGGCCAGGCATTCCAGTGCTGCATTTGGTGGATGAGCATGGTAATGCTTAGCCTAACACCTTGTTAAATTATAGCTGTCCTTTGTGCATGTCAGCCAGTCAGTAAGTGCTTTATGCTTTTAAGTTGTGTATATGCTGTGTGCAGAATCTTCCTTCCTCCTGGCTGTGATGCCCAGGTGAAATGATCCAAAAGAGGGGCTGTAAAGCCCCCTCACCCCACACAAAACACAAATGAATTGGAAGAGGATTACATAAGGGTGAGGAAGATGTTTGGGAAGTCTAAAACCACAAGTGATTCAGGATCAATAACTGAGTGTTTGTTACATATTCCAGATCTAGTGGACACATTAAATAAAAACTGCAGAGGCTGGTTTTAAAGGAAGCAGGGATTTTTTTTTTTAAGGATTGCAGCAAAGCTGCAGAAGCTTTTGCAGTAAGTCTTTGTAGTTACTAAATGCATATATTCAAAAACTGGATGAATGCACAGAAGAAAAGTCCATTGGGGGTTCTAGATCTTAAGATATTTACCCTAGTGTTTAAGAAATCTAAACCATAAAGGGCTAAAAAGTGGGTTAAGTCTACAGGAGGAAATGGCACAGCATGTTCAGTCTGTTTTCTTTTCCCAAATACCTGCTGTTGGAAATACTGTGTTTAATGGACTTTTGGTTCAAGTTAGCATGATCCATTTTGTTTGTAGGAGGCAGCTTTTGTTTTCTCTTTCTGTGGTTTTATTTTGTTTTAGGTTTTGACCTAGGATGTTGCCTGAGGAGTGTTGATATTTAGAATCTTAAACTGTTTTCTTTCAATTTTAAAATTACATTTCTTGGAGAAAATGGCTCTGGCAGCACTTTGAGAGTGAAATGGAAAATGCAGGTTGGGTGTTCACTCTGTGCTTTCTCTGGCCATTGTCCATGATAAGTTTCTTTGTGGCTTGGTTGCCCTTTACATGTCTGCTATTCTAACCTCAGTTAAGTATTGTGCTCCTGATAAATCTTTACACTAAAACATGCAACTCTAACCCCTTCTGTTGTCATACTTTTCTGAATGGACCTGCTCCTGTATTTGTCTTGGCTCAGTTTTCTAGGCAGTCTAATATGGGCATTTATGCTGATGCTTTTCAGTCAGAGATCAAAGCCAGAAAAAATCTTATAACACTTTCATAGAATATCTGTAACCAAATCTGTTCAGGCTCTGGAAGGAGAGCTTATTGTTGGTTACTGTTGAGAATGTGTTTGTAAATGCATCACACATACTTCTCATCCCTAAAACATCCAACCTAGCCTGGTTAAAGCTCAAGATTTAAGCAATTGTCAGCTAGTGTCCCTTCTGTTTTGCTTTAGGATTTTATATCTTTTCATGTTGGAATATTTCCTCTCAATTCCTTAAACTACTAATGACACCCTCCCAGTAGTCATACCCATGTCAAATTTTTACTTTGTTATCTTGTGCTTAAAAAACCCAACAAGCTGTCCATAAAAAGTTTGGTAGCCAGCTTATTATTTACTTTGCTTTTTATTATGGAATAGCTATTCCCTTGTGGTCACATAGTTGATCATACAGTACCAGAAGAAATGTGTGTTTATTTTATTAGAATTTTTTTTCTGTGCATGTAGCCAGACACATAAAATGTGCAGTAATTTTTTGTGAAGTATCAGGATTTTGTCCAAACATCATGCTCTCAGAGTGCAGGAGGGTTTGTGTATTTGTACCAGTGGCCTTTAGGGTGACAGAACCACTTTGGGATTGGTTGTGAGTGCTATTTTATTTAAAAGGACCAAGAAGAGAGAGTCTGTGGGGAGAAGGGAAGTTTCTTGCCAGAACAGAGTATGAAATCAGATACCTGAAACTGATCAAAAGAACTGTGTGACAAAGTTTTAAATTCTTGCTGCTAAGCTGCAGGTGCCTACAAAAGATAACTTTATCTTATTCCAATTATTTCTGGAACATTTTACTGAGAGGTGATGGCTTTTGAGGACTGGCTTTGACACTTAGAGTAGTTTAGCAGCCCCTCAGTGCTGTGAGATGATAATGATAGAGAACTGATTTCATCTCTGTGACAGACAACAAATAAAGTACCTGGAGTGTAAAATTACTGAATATAAGATGGCTGACCTTTCAGGAATTGGTATTTGTTCAGATTCAGATGCTGTCTCATGGAGCTTTTATTTCCCCACTGTGCCTGTTGCCTGGGAATCTCCTGTGTTGTTTCCTGCTTTAGTGACAGTGATTTAGGCAGGTTTGCAGCAGCTGCTGAGGCCAAGGCAGGAGTTAACAGCTGGTGAAGGTACTGGGCTTTGAGGTGGAGTTCCCCTTTTCCAGCAGCAATGGAAACACTCAATGTTTTCATCAGCCACCTGCACTGTGGTGTTTAACTGAGGACAGGTGTTCATTGCAGATCTCCCCAAGTACTCTGTGACCCATCTAGAGTATCTTTGAGAGAATTATTGCCTGGGTTAATCTTTATGTTGTATCTAATTTTTGCTTAGTTGGTGGTGAGAATGCCAAAAGCTGAGGAGATGAGCTGAAACTTTCATTAGTTCTCATAAAAATACTTTTTCCTTTTTTTTCCTTTTTATGGCATCTCTAATGCAGGAACTGCAAATGGATTTATTTGTGCTTAACTGACATGTAATCTCTTCTATCCTGCCTGGCAGGTAGCCATTAAATTACTTTGTGGTCACATTTGGGTTCTGGTTAGCTTCAAAATGCAGTAAATTAAAAAAAAAAAAGATAGGAAAAAACCCCCCAAAAGCAAAAAACCGAAACAAACTCCTCCCACACAAACAAAAACACCTCAAATGCAACAAACAAACAATGCCCCTTGGGAAATGCACTTAAAATACTTGACATCTTGAATGGTGTATAGATGGAAATAAGCAAAGCAGGTGTTATCCAACATGGAGCCTGTCATCAACACTAAAACAGTCTGTGTCATAAAGGAAGAGCACTCTTGAGAAATCCTCTCTATCTGCTTTTCATAAAGGAATTTTGTTTAGTTTAGCTACTAACTACAATAGAAAACCCTTCGTTCTGCACAGTCTCAGTATGATGACAGAGAGGAACCAGAGAGACTTGGAAATGCCAAGAGAGAGTAGGAAATGAAGTGGGGACAAACTCAGCTAATTATTTACCTCAGAGCAGACCTTGTGTATCCATAGGGGCAGGAGAACTTAAGTACTTGTTTGGAGCTGAGCCTGGGAAACACTTAAGAAAGGAAGATGGTTTGGAAAGCTTTTATATTCCAGTCAGGGATCTTTGGTGTATTAATTGACTCTGAAGCTTTTTCTGCCTTTACTGGCAAAGAGAATCTGTGCATCTCCTGTGAATAGCATCCATGGTCTAGCTTATTTTCACACAAAAGCTTATAATTCTGCAACAATACAGGGTCCTGGTTAGGCTTGAAAGAGGCTGGAGAAAGAATGCTCCTTCAGGATGTTGAAGAAGCTCTGCTTTTACCTTCATGGAGCTTCCCCCTCAGGCCCTTTGAAGATAGACTGAGGAAATATTTGTGATATGATCTATTCTGCTTAGGGGGACATAACCTGGAGATGTTGAAGTGACAGTGCATGTCCTTGCTCTCAGCTGCATACAAGGAAGAGCTTTGGCTAAAAAAGCCAAAAAAATCTCTGTAGGTGGACTGATTTGCAGCCATCAAACCATATTCTCTTTTCTGAATGAGTTTGTTGGCTTGGTGCTCTCTGCACCCTTTCCCAGTGAAAGATATGGGTATGCCTCTGGAAAGACTTCAGAAAGCCTAGCTGGGCCAGAAATGGTATCTCTGCATCTCTGACAGAAAGACTGGGTTAAAAACCCCCCAGGAAATTTATAGAAGATTAAAATTAGGGATACATCAGTTTTTAAGCTGTCTTAGATGACCATCTCTTCTTAAATTGAAAGGATTTGTTTTTCCCCATGTCCACCAACCAGTGAAGAACCAACTGAAAGCCAGAAACTTTCTCTTGGGAACTTACACTGAAAACAGCAATTAATCCTAACACATATTCTCCCTTCCCACTCCTCTTTAGGAAAATAGATAAATATTTTTGCTGAGACATTGTTGCTGGCTTATTGGATGCATCAAAATATATAGCAAATTTTTATATAGCAAATATTTTAAGAATATTTCCATGCAGTATTTTCTGTGTTATATGTATATATGTGCGGATATATTTATGCATGAGCAAGTGAAGGGAAGAAGTTGTGAAGGTGCCCAAAAATAGAAACTTGGCTTAATTCAAGAGTGCATCTAGGCAAGATTTAAAGTAGAACTGTGCCTGAGATTCACTCTCAGCTTTGGCTGAAATTTACTGGACTAATAAAAGTAATGTGCAGCTTACATCTGCAGCTTGGCTTGCTGCAGCTTGGCTTGCTATGATGGAAAACAAAAATAATTATGAATTATGGCCTTCAGGGAAAATTTATTAAATCCTGGGCGGGACTATCAAACAGAAGCAAAAGCTTCTATTGTGATGTTAACATCTGGTGTATAGATGAGTATATGTCAATTTATGTTTTAGAGCTACAGTGTAGCAATTTACAGTTTCAGGTTTTATAGTTAACTTGGATATCAAACAAAGATTTTGTGTATCCATTGTACGTCCTCCTGTGCTCATCCTCTTACTCTAAAGCTGATCAAAAGCAATTTATGTCACAGTCTTCAAAAGCCTGTATGTTTTTATTCCTTGTTAGGTTTACCTTTCTTCTGAATAAGTATGTTGAATCTCAGTGTGGTTCAAATGATTTTAAGACACTGCTGATGTTTCCATGGCCTAAGAAAGATTTATAACAATGAATAAAGCTTTAATATGAGTGTTGTGATTTTAGTACATGACATTTAAAAGTAGCTAGTAGTGAGTAGTTAGTTAAGGAGGAAGTAAATGGAAAACACTGAGGTATTGGTAAGTAAAATGATATTTTTTAAGATTTCAAACAATGTAGTTTGATTTTTTTAGCAATCTTTCAAATCTAAATGAGCATATCATCTGATGCTATGTGAATGGTGCACTGTATAATTTTAATCTTTGCTTGAAAGACTATTTTCCTTCTTTATGAAATAGAACTATGGATAAGTTCTACTACATATACCTGGTAATTAATTGGTCATTAACTGCTGATTTTATGTGTATTTGAAGAAGTTTTTTTTAATTTGCTGATTAGAAATCTCATGGGTACCTCTGGAGTCTTAGACTGTGCTATTTTTAAAATTTTCCTAATGCAAATCTGCAAAATTATGTGATGTCATAAAGAAGATGGTATCTGCAGTCATTTGCATGCAAATACAGCTTTGGACACTGATATTTTTGCACAAAATACAGTTTTATCAAGCTGCAGCAGAAGCCTTTTCTCTTAGTTTAGTTTTGTATTTAAGTATTTTAATTTACAAACTCTTGTGTGATTAGGGGATGCTTTGCTTGCTGTTTCATTTGGTGCTAGAAGCAGCTGTATATAGATTTTAAAATCTTATAAATAAGATTTATAAATAAGCAGGTTTTTTAGTCCTAGCTTGTCCTGTACTATTCTACTTGCCAACTGGCTCATGAATTTATTGTCCCAGGAGGATCTGGGCTTTTGTTCTTTTATTTCTTTTAATGTGTACACTGCAGGGAAACATGCATTTCAGATAATTAGCCAAGAAGAGATGTGAGTGTGATCAGATAAATGAGTGCAGCTGCCACATGCAGCAAACCTCTCTGGAAGGCAGGGGTGCATCAGCTTAACCTGCAGTGTAACATCTCAAAGAAAACCTATTTGCTTGCATTACATGGGGCAGCTATTAGAACCCATGGTGCTCCAAAGCTAAAATGTTACTGCAGAAGAAAAGGAAATGTGATTTATAATTTAATCATCCAACCTTTTTGTGGGGGTGTTCACAGGGGTCCCAGGATGAGGGAAGAGATGAGAATCTTGGCTCCATGTTTCAGAAGGCTGATTTATTATTTCATGATATGCATTATATTGAAAGAAAATGATATATTAAAACTATACTAAAAGAATAGAAGAAAGAATTTCATCAGAAGGCTAGCAAGGAATAGAAAGGAATGAATAATAAAAGCTTGTGACTCTTAGAGAGACCAAGTGAGCTGACTGTGATTGGCCATTAATTAGAAACAACCAACATGGACCAATCAAAGATGCACCTGTTGCATTCCACAGCAGCAGATAATCATTGTTTACATTTCATTTCTGAGGCCTCTCAGCTTCTTAGGAGAAAAAATCCTAGCAAAAGGATTTTTCCTAAAATGTGTCTGTGACACCTTTTGTCATTTTTTTTTCACATTGCTGATATTTGGAGAGTGTACTGGTAGCTGAAACACTGCCATGCATTGGATGTAAGCTCTTTAAATGCTTGTTTGCCAAAGCAGGATACATACAGGTTGCCCACCTGTTTCCTTAGAAATCTCATGATCAAAGTAATAGATTTGGGTCTTCTAGTGAAGTTGCTTCATTTGGCCAGTTTGAAAGCTCTGTAAAGCAAATCCCAGCTCTTAGGACCATTTCCCAACAAAGCATCCATTATTCCCAGTGTTTCATTTCACAGCACAGCTTCAGGTAATGTTTTTCTCCCCAGCACCTGGATGATGACACAGTTTCAGGATCGAATTGGATAACAGAAAATAATGTGCAGCATCCTCTGTCCCAGACAGCCAAAACCACCAGGAAGCCTTACTGCGGGTACACGGAGCAGGCCTTGTCCAAACGGGAACAAGCGGAGCAGGAATCCTTGCTTGCTGCAATACAGTGGCCAAAGCCCCCTGATGGCAAAATCCCCTTTGCACAGAGCACTGATCCCACGCACAGTGACTTTGTGATTGTGAAACCCAACAGGTTCTTCAAGGTGGGTGATCAGTTGGAGGTACTCGTTCGCATGAAGGATTTCCAAGGAAAGCCCAAGCAGTACGGTGGAGACTATTTACTAGCACGAGTTCACTCTCCTGGCCTGAAAGCTGGAGCAGCAGGAAGGATTGTAGATTGCCACAATGGCCTTTACAAAGTCTTCTTTACCTTGCTTTGGCCAGGAGAGGTCAAAGTTTCTGTGTCACTTGTCCATCCGAGTGAAGCCATCCAAGTCCTCGTGCGGTTGCGCGAGGAAAGGCCGGACAGAGTCTATTTCAAAAGCTCCTTCAAGTCTGGGAGGTATTCAGAGACTACAGAGTGCAACGTTTGCCTGCCTGCAGGTCTCCCAGTCTGTAACTTCACAGATCTCTACACGGGTGAGCCGTGGTTCTGTTACAAGCCTCGGAAACTGTCCTGTGCCAGCCGAATCAACCATGCCAAAGGTGGATATCTGAAAGGTCTTCTGACACAGGAGGAAAGCCTCTTTTTCCAAAGGTTTGTGTGTTGTTGGATTTATATATACTCAGTCAAGTCAATAGGCATATTTAAGGCTATTGTTTAAATAAGACACATTGCCTTAGAGGTGGAGTGTATCTGCAGGACCAGGTGTTAGGTGTTAGTTGATGAATAGTGTGTTCCCCTCCATTCAGCTGTGCAAAAATCTCAGCAATCTTAAAGAAACTTGGCATGTAGTTCTCTTTCTGTGCTTTGAATTCAACCCTGCTGAATTTCACAAGAGCATGCTGTCTAAATCTGTTGCTGGTTTTTTGAGACTATTTCCTTATTTTCTATTTCCATACGTGCACTTGCAATATTAATAACAATGCTTTGAGAAGTATTTTTGGCCAAATATAAGCAATCTAAAAAGGATCCGGGTTTTAGGCTCATTTTTACAGAAATTACCAATTGTTTTTGTCCTCATCAAAAATTGTCTTAAATGTGTTCCTTGTTGCTCAATATGACTTTCAAATCTTATAAACAATTTTCATAAACGAAACACCTGGTGGAACAAATTGCTGAGAAATACCCATGCAAATGGAAATGATCTGTGCATGTTATTTCAAGTGTCAAACTAAATTAGTTTCACAGTCATATTTTATTTCTGCAAACAGCATTAAAAAAATCCCAAACGATCTATTATTGCCTGTGTATGTGTGACAGAACTGCTTCTGTATGAAATTACATAGCTGAATTTAGATAAAGTTAGTTACTGTGTAGTGTCAGAGTTGTAGTTGCAATGCCTTGCTAATGCCTTGCTCTCCAACAAAGATGTTGTAGGAAAATCTTTTGGGACAATGTTCACTTGAGGTCTAAATTGGAAAGATTTTAGGGTAGCAGCTCCAAATAATGTAATTTAGGAAAGTATGTGTGCATGTTCATAACCAAGACCAGAAATAAAAAGTAAGCATCAGTGGGGGATTTTTTTTTTGGCTCATCCATATCAAGTGGATCTTTTGACTTTCTGTGTCTCTGTCAGTCCACCTGTAAAATATAGCTTATATTTATTGGTGATGTTTCCATATGGGAATGGGAAAGCTGTTTTTCTTGGTTTAGTTTTGATTGTTTATTTGTTTGTTTGTTTCATTCAGCTCTGAGATCCTTGACTGAAGTGGCTTAAAGAAATTCAAAATAATTTATTTCTTAAATGGTGAAAAACAAATAGACAAGGATTCTCTTCAAAACAGTAGCAAAGGACAGAACAAGATCTCAGTATCTGTCAGCTGGGAGCTGCTGCTGTGGCCCTGTACCCTTGCAGTGATTTGTCCCCACAAGTTCTGCAGGCTGGGAACATCTTTGGGGCAAATCCCCAAAAGCTTCCTGCACCTCTGGCAGCTTGATTGCTTTGCTGAGATTTGTGTCAGTACAAGTTTGCACAAGATTTGTGTCAGTGCCATGAAATTTTGAATTTGGATCGAGAATAGCAACTATAGTCTCAAAATAAATGTGGAATGAATTCAGCTGTAGGAAGTAGAGTAAACTTAGAGTAAAAATTTGTAGTGCTGTGTGCTTATTTGAAGTGGAGGAAGAAAAAAAATGAGATAAATATTACCTCCAAGTTTCACAGTAACTTTTGCAAATATTGCTGTGTTCATTTTTTGTTCAAGTGACGTGAATATCAAAAGGCCAATACTCTCCAGTGGACCTGATTCAGTCATTGTAAAGCCCACAGCATTTACAGGTAAGCTGAACTGCATAAGATTCTTGTTTGTAATTCATAATCAAATTTATAAAAAGAACAACAGGCATCAAATGATAATTTGGGGTTTTTTTTAACATGGCAAAAAAATCAGTATCAGATTTTTATTAAGATGATGAAGGCTTTTGTGTGTTAACTTTAATACAAGTTCACAAATAGTGAATTTTTTTTCTGAAATTACATACATAAATGGGATTATTAGCAAAAGAAGAAATGAAAAGAAGAGACAACTTTGTTCTCTTGCCAAAAATGCCTTTTATTTCTCCTAGCATTTACTCACAGTGTAAAATCTCTTTGAGTAACTGCTTACCAAACTCTCAATCTAATGAAAACAGCTGTGTGGTGTTTCTTAATTTCTTTCTTTGTTAAGAATGTTGTCTAACAGATTTTGATTGCATTTAAGTATTACTATAATTTGTGTTACCACAGGATGTCAGAATCTACAGTTCTGGACCAAAACTTAATTGTTCTGTGCCCTTTCTAAGAACAGAACAAAGACAGTCTGTAGTAAAATGAACTCAGAGATTTTATCTCATTCATATCCAAAAGCAAGCTTTTTATGCTTCTAAAAAGTCTGCATAAAATGTGATACACAGAGAATTATTTCTTAAATGAAAACTTTTCGTATTTTTTTTCATTAGGTTATAAGAGACTTTTAAGGTAGAGTTACTGACCTGAGCAATAAAGTCTGAACAGAAGGCAACTTAGAGCATTTCTTGCTTTTAGTTTTACTGTTCACTTAAAAAACACAGTTCTGTTACTAGGCTTGCAGCATTTTACCCTCCACCTCTTTTCTTTGTCCAGATCCTTTAGCTGAAGTGTTTTTGTTGCTTTTTTTAATCCTGGATGTTTCCTGACAGAAACTGCTGCAAATTCAAAATTTGATTGTCACCCTTCTTCCAGGAGCTAAGAATGATCAAAGCCTGCCTACAATGTCCTGACAATTAATGCTGGGTTAAAAAGGGTGGATAGGCATAGCACACTTCCTCAGGGAAATTCCTTCCAAGTACAGCAGTCTCTGAATAAATAAACTGAACTTATTGCTATAATGCTCTTGAATGTGTGGATTGGTTAGGACTGATGATACACACAAACTCATTGTTCTTTTTGTGCATGTTTTTCTGTATGGTGGTAAATGTAGATCAAGTTTTTAAAAACATTTGTTTTTCTGAAATACAAGTTTTTATTTCTATCCTTGTTTTTTAACTTCAGATTGGAGCTTTTATTCTCTTTTATAAAATCTCAAAGTAAGGGCCAATTCTGAATTTTGGGCCAAAACTGGTATGATACTATACACAGATTGAAATGCTGATTTACTGTGGGGCACCAAAAAGTTGTTCTAGTACCACTGTTATATATATATATATATATGAATCCATCTAAAAGGTAAAAAATTGAATTGCTTTTGCATCAAAACTTAGAATCAAACAAACTCAATTTCTGAATTCACATTCTGAATTAGTCTTTAATGACTATTGAAGGCTCTTTTAAGGCTCTTTTTTTTTTTTCTTTCTCCTGTTAATAAATATTAGATGAGTTCACATTATTATCTAGGTTTTTTTCCTTCCTTGATCCTGCTGTCAGATTTAAAGAATCATCCAGAGATAGAATTTTCTGATGGCTTTGTTCTGTGGTAATTGTGATTATATTATTTGTGTTATACAAATGTAAGTGTATAGTAGTTTGGTTTTTAGTGTCCTTGCGAGGTCTAAGGAGGTTAACATCCACTAATACAACATGCAGAGCATATTGAATAGAAAAAGAGTAATAAAAATGCTTATTAGGAAAGATGGTTATGGTTGGCTCTATCTGTGTTAGAAGCATCTATCAGAGGATGCTTTTGGGCTCTGGAATTCCAGTGTTTGTACTTTTACATCATCTGAACAGTCCCTGGCAAGATTTTGGCCACAGCAAGGTGTGCTTTATCAAACAGCTGTAAGTTATGACAGGGCATGGACTGTCCTTAGCAGTCCCCACACCAAGGTGAGTAGAAGTGCTTAAACAGAAGTGTCTGCTCCATGCAGCTGGTGTTTGTGCCAGGGAAGATCTCCATGCTTGTTCAGCTGAGGTATTTGAATACACAAATGGCAAAGGAGGGACGTGAAACAGCCTTACAGAACTTTGATGTACCAATATCCCCCTGGTTACTAAGAGATATATGGCAGTATTTGTATGATATAACCATGAGATTGCAGTTTCTCTTCCTGTAATCTCCTGTAATCCTGATACTTTTGCTTGCAAAGTATTGCTCAATTTCTGCAAGTTAAAAGGGCATCCTATGGTCCAGAGCTTCCCTGATGTGTAGTTGCCCCTCAGGCAGTAAATGGGGAGGGGGCTGGATGTCAGAGATAAAGTACGAAATCCACGGAATTAGGGACTCTCTTAATTATCATATTCAAATGGCACATACACCATTTTTGATCATAGCTTCAATTCTGGCATTTTCTGGCTTTGGAGGCCTTATGGTTCATACTTAACTCTTCTAGAGTGCCGAGGTATGTGTTACTCCGTAGGAGTAGTTCTTTGGGGGTTTGCCTCGGTCTGTGTGGGGGTTTTGTGGGTTTGTTTTGGATTTTTTGGATGTTTCTCTGGGTGTTGCCAGGCTGTCCCCGCGGGTCGGTGTCCCCGCCGAGCAGCGCTGCAGTGCGCGGGCCGGCCGCTGGAGGGCAGCAGCGCGCCGCGGCAGGGCGGCCTCCGTGCTGGATCCGCAGCGGGACGGGGAGGATGCTGTGCCGGCCTCCCTGCCTTCCCTCCTTCTGCAGCGGGACGGGGAGGATGCTGTGCCGGCCTCCCTGCCTTCCCTCCTTCTGCAGCGGGACGGGGAGGATGCTGTGCCGGCCTCCTGCCTCCGCTCCTTGTGCAGGGCAAACACCCGCCACTGAGTGCCTCCAGCGCCCAGAGAAAGGTGTCAGATACGTTTTTACATTAGCAGCAGAGATACCATTTAATTAAAACCAAGCTGAACTATAATCGGCCACCCAGCTCTTGTCAGCAGTCGCTGACTACATGTCGGTGAAGATTATGGAGGCTGTTTTGGTTGCATGTTAATTTCAAAGGATTTTTCTCTTCCAGATTCAAGCAGTATGGGCAGAGCTGAAGATCCCACAGCTTCCCCTTCTGGTTATTATTATGAAGACCAGTGGAGGTCCAGAACACATTGGATCCATAATTTTAACAAATCAGAGGATATAACTGAGTGCTTACAAGGAAAAGTAATCCACTTGTTTGGAGACTCTACAATAAGGCAGTGGTTTGAATATTTGACAGCATTTGTTCCAGGTAATTTTTTGTTATTTAGCTTTAAGGGCCTTTACAAAGCCTTATTTCTCACATCTCAGACACAGAACTGGTTTTACTGAGTGACAGTGACAAAACAAAGGAAGAGGAAAGACAAAACCTCATCAGAAGCCCTGGCAGACAGCCAAATGTTTGAGCAGACACTGAAAACATGTAGGCCTTGTAAATGGGGCCACCAGGTGTCTGCAAAGTTGTCCTTGTAACAGGACTGCTGCTGTGGTCATGAGTTAAGGTGGCAGAAAACCACTTGGGTTGCCTCTGTAAGGCCTTGCAGCATCCCAGTCACAGGAGAGATTTTGGAATGAAGTAGCAAATTACCTCCATTGCTATTTATAGGTTTTGGGGCCCTTTTCATTATTCAAGTTATTTAAGTAGAAGAATTTCAGTAGAAAATTAAATATTCCTGCCTCCCTCATCCCTTTCCCCTGAACCACTTCAGTTGTGTTGAAATACAGTCTTTGAGCTGCCTTAATTCCTACAACTTGAAGTAATCTTTAAATTTAATGGAGTCCTAAAATTGCTAGAAGAGTTCTTGTGAACCCTGGATTCAGAGAGTAACTGACTATTTGTAAAAAAATTAATTTTTACAAGAGAGAAGGAAATAGTTTGGGAAACTTGGAAAAGGCATTGACAGCCTTATGAAATCCAAATGTGCTGTCCTGAAGATTTCAACACCCATAAACTCCGCTCTGAAAAATGATGCTCAACGTCTGTTTAGTTTTAGAGTTCTTTGAAATATGTTCAGGTTTCCTTATCTACTCCTGCTTTGCCCTGTGGTCTGAGCATCTTGTTGAAAGCTTGAAGTTCTTGTGCTGTGTAGGAGCGTTGGGGGGTAGGACAGTCGGGATGGATAGAGATGAGAGATCTCTGCAGCCAGGTCATGGAACTTACAGTTTATTGCAAAGGGCCTGGGTGCAGGGCCCTGCTGGGAGCTGCCAGCCACAGCTCGGAGCAGGCCTGAGAGAAGAGAGGGGGAGAGAGGATGAGAGCGTAAGAGAGTAAAACGGGAAGGAGAGTGAAGTTTTCGTTACAATACAATAAATCATCTTCTGTGTTGAATATTTTGATTCTCACTAACTAATTTAGTACAATATACAAATCTTATAGCATTTCTATACAGCTTATGAGAATCGCTACGTTACTATACTGTGTTATATTTTAAACCTTAAAAACTACTCTTTGGACTCCTTCTGCTAAACTGGTAGGGTCTGCTCGGACCCTTAGACTTGCCTGCAAGCAGAGGGTATTGTTTCATCAAAAGGGGATTACCTTCAGTCTGGTCACACCATTGTTTTCCCATTGTTCAGTAACTAAAAGATCTCAAAGCTTGCTTTCATTTCAATCTCGCTTATAGTTTCTATCTTCTCAAAATCTTTTGCCAGACAATCATATTTGTAAAGTTTTCCTGTTTCATCTTCCCCAACAGTGCTGTCTTTGTCTAACGCTCGCTCCTGGCCTTTCAGATCTGGTGGAATTTAACCTGGGCAGCCCGAAGAACGTGGGCCCCTTCATGTCGGTGGACCTGAAGCACAACATCCTGCTGAAGTTCCGCTGCCACGGGCCGCCCATCCGCTTCTCCACCGTGTTCAGCAGCGAGCTGCGCTACATCGCCAACGAGCTCGACAGCATCGTGGGCGGCAGGAACACCGTGGTTGCCATCACCATCTGGTCCCACTTCAGCACCTTCCCCGTGGAGGTGTACATCCGCCGCCTCAGGAACATCCGCAGGGCCGTGCTGCAGCTGCTGGACCGCAGCCCCAAGACCGCCATCGTCATCAGAACGGCCAACGTGCAGGAGCTGGGGCCGGAAGTGAGCCTCTTCAACAGCGACTGGTATTCCTTTCAGCTAGATTCTGTCATGAGGAAAATGTTCTCAGGAATTGCTGTGCACTTTGTGGATGCTTGGGAGATGTCTGTGGCTCATTACTCGCCACATAACCTGCACCCTAATGAAGTAATTGTTAAGAATCAAATAGATGCGTTTTTATCTTATGTGTGCCCTCTGCAAACTTAGCACAAATGGGTGTCCCTATGTCGCCTTTTGCTATAGCCCAAGTACAGCTGCTCTTTTGAGCTGTGGAATGAGGCTGGATGATAAGGAGGAGCTCTGGGTACTTGCATGCAGGACAACTACGGTGGCCTTAGTCTGGGTAGCTGTGAAAGGGTGGTAAAGAGGAGTTGACTCTTCAGGCCATATCTTCCTGCAAGGTTGATTCCTTCAAGCTTATCATTCATACCTGAGATTATTAGAGCACCTTAAATTAAATTGGCAGGATTCAATAAGAGATTATTTGGGTTATTAGCTTTACTAGTTATCTGCACGGTATGCCTAATTTAATCCGTGTGACACTGATTCTGTTGCCAGGGTCTTGTTGCTCAGAACAGTGTGTGAAACCTGGGAAGGATTTTGGGAATGGTCTTTCTCTCAGCATTCCAGAGCATAAGGGATGTCTTCTCCAGCTGTGTGTCAGAGAAACACAGTGTCTTGTTTCAAAGTCCTAATTAGAAACATAAAGGGTGTGTACCAAAGTCACCAATAAAGAAGCACAATCACAATATCTGTAGAATTAAGTCATGAAGAATTTGCTGAAATCTGATTGAGCACCCTAGTTAGGTACCTTTATTTACAGATGGCTGCTAAATAGTGCAAATAGCCAGTATTTTAGTTTGGTTTCTTGTACTACTGAATTTCTTTTGAGCTTTGATACACTGTCTACTCCTTGATTTGTCATTAGTGAGGATATATGTGTTTTATGACCTCAGCAAAAACAGTGTTTCAGGCAGTTTCTGCAAGTTCAAGTTGCAGGCTTGCCTACTTGAAGCTTAAAGCATTTGGCAGTGAAAGTGTTTCATTTAGCAGTGAAAGTGTTTCATTTGCCAGTGAAAGTGTTTCCATTGCCTGCCAGCTGCCGCCGTTCCCTTAAGGTCCTGCAAAGCCGGGCTGCCCTCTGCTGTGTCCTTCATACCCTGAATCTGGACAGGGAGCCAAGTGACCCGAGGGTCCTGCTGTGCTTTGGCAGTGGCCACACAATGACTCCTCTTCAGGGTCTGGCAGTTCTGTCATTTCTTCATGAACTTCACTGCTGCCAGTATAAAAGGTGGCACACCCTGCACCCAAAAGCTGAGCGTGCCCAGGGCTGCCTTCATCTATCTGCTTGGCACAGAACCAGGTTTGCTGGGCTGACAGCTGGTGGCTCTGCCTCCTGGCCTGGCATTTACTGCTGCTTACTTGATTGAGCCTGCCTACAGTTTTAACTAGAAGCACTTTGAAAACAGTTTGTGATGAAGTCAAGTCCCAAATGAAACAGCAGAGAGGTGTTCCATGCTGTCTTATCTTTGGTCACGCTCAGGCCAAAGCCAGTCTTCACTGGCTTGTGTCAAAACCAAGTTGAGTCTTTGTGAGCAAACTGAGAAGATTAATAAGGCAAATTGGCAGGTTGCACAGAGTGAAATTATCAAAATGTCTTTATGTTAAAAAAAGTTTCGCTCCTTGTTAGCTTGCTGCTCTCCTATTGCCAGAGCCCTAAGAGAGCCAATGCTGCCAGCTACAGCAACAGTGTTTCTTATTGTGTTCATTTTATAGAGCAACTGAGAAGTGGTTTAAAAACAGATATAAATTATTTTAGCATGCAAAAGGCATCGGTACTATCCATCTATAAACTTTACAATTTAAAGATGTTTAAACATGTCTGGAGGAATTGTGTACACTGAAACGGCATTCATTCTTAGCTTTTCAAATCAGCAGCAAGGAGAGGTCCAATTTGCTGGTTCCTACTGACAGCTGCCTCCCACAGCATCTGCCCATGCATTAGTGTTAGGTGACTGTTGCTTACTTTAATATGGTAACGGCAATTTATCCTCTGCTGAGAAGAGGCCACACCAATTCAGGTCTGGGAAAGTAAACTACCACAATGAAAAGTGAACTTTCATCTTTTCCAGTTGTGATTTTTATAACAGGTAAAGGCTTTCATCCTGAATAACAACTCTATCCTAATAATACTCATGGAAATAGGACTTCAGACTTCTTTGAAGGAAACTACTGAATTTGTGGACTGACCATTAGGTTTAACTCATAAAGCCATATTGTGTGTGAAAATGTTGTGGCTGCATGTGTCTTCTCTGGGTGTTGTAGTGCTTGCTACTGCTCCTCAACAGCAGCTTTGTATCACTGTTAGCTACCAAGCACAGAGAGAGAAGAAAATGTTATTTTGAGTGCTTTGACAGTTGAGCAAAAGAGAAGTGAACTGCTATTAGAAAAGGTGTCGAATTGCCTTCTGGTAGAACCTCATCCTTTAGATTAATTAGATTAATTTTTTAACAACAGATGAATTAACTTATTGGTAATGAACTTCAGGGAAATTGCCAGTTGGTTTAGAAGGAGGCTCAAGATTTTATTTTTTGGGCTCTGAAATAGACAGGGAAGAGAAATGAAGAATCTGAGGATTTACCTGTGTTTGGGGACACTGTGCTTTTAGATGTCATTCAGGTGATCTGTGAACAGTCTTTCATTTCTCTTCTCATCTTGTTACCATCTATCTCCTCATGTTACCAGTTGTGTATGTATGGGATATGCAAACACAGAAGCAATAAAATATTTTTAAATCAGTTTCTTTAAACTTCTAAATGGATTTTAATAGGGACTTAGGTTAAGGTGTTGGCTATTTTTGAAGTTACTTAATGTGAAACAGGACTGGAAAAGAATTTCTCAGCATCTGTTAAGTATCTTCCTCAACACATAAAAAATTAATTCACAAGGTTTTCAAAGCCTTGTCTTCCCTTTCTTTGCATTTTCTTCCTTTGAAAGGAAGATGTATTATTTTTTATATTTTCATTTTTGTACTGATAATTTTGATTATTAATCTTTCATTAGATATTTATTTTTTAATTTCTTCATTCAAAATACAGCTCTCTCAAATTCCAGTGAAAGAAACTACTTTTATTGTTTTTATTAGAGGATTTCAGAGTAATTTATTTATAATGTAAGTAAACTCAATTTTATATATATTAGTGTTGCACTGTAATATTTTGAATCTTGTTTCTCATGTGTATATTCTTAGGCTGATTTGTTTCTTCTAGAAATTTAGTAAAAATGTTAGTTGAATTGTTGATGAGAAGGGAGGATGAAAAGCAAAAGCTTCCCTTTTTTCAAGTTTTCAGTTGCTTCTAATTTCATCTGCAAATGTAGCACTGTTTCATGAGATTTAAATTACCATTTTTCATTGCTTTACTTGTTATAGGTAAGCAATTAAACATGGAAACTTTGCTTACCACAAGTGTCTGTACAACTTTTTATGTACTGCCGGTGACAATTTCATGGGTACATTACAAAGATGAAGGTTTGAAGTTGCCTCCTGGAGGGGTGGAGGATGCTGGAGTTTTGCTTTGGTTTTGTTGCAAAAGTGTGCATTAGAACATTCTTCCATTCATGACAGTTTAAGTAATAGCAAAAAAATTCAGTCACAAATGTGTTTTTCATTTAAAAAGCACTTACTCCTTAAGTCCAGATAATTTAATATCTATTTAGACCGTTTGGAAGGCTCTTACTCTCTGTTGGGAGCAGTGAAGTTTGTTAGAGAAAGAACTTGTTTTCAAAGAACTTGTTTTTTTTCTAATATATGTATGTTGTTGTAATGCTTACAATATACAGAAGGCTCTACTGTCTTGTTTGTTTCCTGATGCAATCAGAAAAACAATTTGAATAGCCAAAAAGCTCAGAGGATGAAAAGTTCCTAATAAAGAGGGCAAGTTTACTTGAACCATTTAACCTGATTTAGTCTCAGTTTATCTTGTTTGTTGTAATCACATGTTCTTTATATTTTTATAGCTGCATAGTAATTCCCTTAGTTTTACCTATTATATTTTGTGCTGTGTGTTGGCTAGGAGTTTCATGCTATGGTTTATAGATAAATTCACTCGAAGTGATTTTTTTAATGTGATTTGTATTTGGAGAGGGGTGATCTGTGCCTGATATGAGACCTAGCACTGAAGCACCCTGATGTTTCTCTCTGTTGGTGTGTCAGGCCTGACATATAATAAAAGGTCGTCCATAATCTAGGCTTCCTTCTTTGAGAGTTTTTGCAGCCTGACTGACCCACAGGACATCCTTAAACCACTTAATTTTAAAAAAGTGTGAACACAGATGAAGCATGGTGATTGTTTCTCCATCTTATGAACAGTTTTTACTTAAATAATGGAAGAAAAGTTGAGGAGAGATGTGTCCTATGAGTCAGTTGGGGTGTTCAAGGGCATCCTACAGTGGTGGCTGTGTGTCCACTGCCCTGTGAGCCCAAGGGCTGCTGTGTGTGCAGGGTCATGGACAGGGACAAGAGTGGCTGCCTGGCACACACTGGGGAGTCTCTGGGATGGCCCAAGGGTGGAGGATTTGGGGGATGTCCCCTGGCTTGCCTTGGAGTTAGCTTGCAGCCAGGGTTTGCAGCTGGGAAAGTAGCAAGGAGGGCACAATCCCTTTGTGCTGGTTCCTGACATAGATAGCCAAAAATATCCTGTTTGACCAGGCTAAAAATCCCTGAATGACAAAGCTGACAGCCAGGAGAGAGTGCTGAGGCGCTACTGCCAAGTATTTGTTCCGGTTTTTTGTTCCCCTCTCACTCCGTGCTGGCTGCTGAAGGGGGCAGGGCAAGGCCAGGGCTGTGATCTGGGTGCTGCTCTCACGTTCCTGCTGAGCACAGAGTGGGGCCATGGCCCTGCCTGCTCTGGCCATCCCAACAGCCCTGAGGGGACAGGGCAAAGGCAAAGCAGCTTCTTCCCAGCATTTAGCTCTGGAAACTGTGCTGCCACCATGTCCAACCCACATCAGCCTTCACTCAGCCAAAAATGAATGTGAGAGGCTGCAAAGTATGAGCTGTTTCTCAGTTGGTGTTAGGTCAGGCCCCAGGCTTCTTCAGAGGGGAAGTGAGAGTGATGAGTAGGACAGAGAGGGGAAGCAAATAAGTAGGATGTAGTTAAGGAAAAGCAACACACAAAGGTCTTGCTCTGTGACACCAAGGAGAGGAAGAAGGTCAGGGATTTGGTCATGTGGAGATGTATTGCCTTTGGAAATCACAATTGTGTGGGACAGACTCACTCCTCTGAGAATACACATAGATGTGGTGCTCCACATGTTTTAAAAAAGGAACAGTTCTTCCCACCTAGGCTGCTCACCCACCTCTTCCTCTATGCCCCTGACAGTGATGACACAGCAATCATGTTAGGTGCAGTTCCAAAATCTGCTTGCAGAGTTGGTTTGAAGCCATGTGTACCATGTTCTCACATGACTGTGGATGTGACAGATATCATAGCTGGGAAACTTTCTAAAAGAAACCCAAAGCATTTGTAATCAAGCTTAGGAGGAGTGCACAGGCAGGTTTTCATCATGTGCCAAGTGCTCCTCAGGGCTGTGGTGACTCAGAGGAGGCATGCAGCTTGCCTGAGATGGCAGAGGTTGCTTGGCAAGGGCAGGGGCTTGAGCCTCATCCATCAGACAGAGACAGGAGGCTCACCAGGGCTGGCAAAAAGCCAAAGCTGCATGGTTTCTGATCTGGTTGGAATGGGGTTTCTTGTGTTCATCCCATGGTTTAGCCCTGCATCCCCAGTTAGCAGCATGTAAGGCAACTTTTAATGTTAGCTGTTCTATTTACAGTGCAAGATCAATGTGTTTGAAACCAGGGAAATGTTTCATGTCCTTGAACCTGGATCTTTGAGTCTTCCTGAATTGTTAATTCATCACAGTGCTTGTCACCCAGATCTGAACTCATGTAAGAAAACCTAGTTTATATCTGGGCAGTGATTCCAAAATCCTGTCCTAATTACTGTGTCCTCCTTCCCTGTTGGTGTTACTAGCCTCTTGTGGGCATATTCAGTAACCTTCTGGGTTTGCTTTGTGAGTCTGTCATGGTGAATTGTGCAAGAGCTTCTCTGCTTGGAAGGGGAAAAAGGGATTTTGTGGGGGAATGCTAGGGAATTGAGTGTGTGAGTTAGTTTCTGTGAGCCCCAGATGAAGAGTGAGCAAGTCACTAAAGCTAAGTGAAAGTGCAACATGTCCTCCCCCACATCCCAACTCTGTCAGCTTGGGCTTAATAGATTAATCACTTAATGACTGTGGCCAGAAGAGGGCTTTGAGGCACTGAAAAAGAGCCTGGGATGACTCTCAAATGAAAAACATAAGCCACAACATATTTGTCTTGGTGGTGGTTTGTTTTCTAACTCCTGTATAGTTTGTGTTTTGAAAACAAATGTCACAAATACCACTGAGGCTCTTTGATTTGAAGTTTGTGAGTGAAATCAGTCGATGACATAGATTTGATAACTCTTAGATTGAAGACTATGCTTCAGAGGATTACTTTTTTCCCCCCAAAACATTATTTTATATCTGATTTTTTTTTTTTATCCTAAGCCACAAAAGGATTGAAAGGAGTGAACTTTACCAGGCTAGAATAATATATCTCAAGTTACTTTTTTCTGCAACATAGAAAATTAAGCAGTGTCTGTGGTCTGAGAGCAAGACATG